GCAGGTCCTCGACTTACGACTGACAGCTGGCAACAGCCAAGCCACACCTGATTGGCTAAAGCGCGGCTGGCTGAGCGCAGGCTGCCAGAAGCATTCCCAGTGGCTAACCTGCTTGACAGCTCCGTATAAATAGCTGTCAAGCAGGGCGAGGTGCTGAATTCTGTTTGCACATAGTTCTTGTTCCGTTTGCAATAAACCACTGTTCAACTTACCTCAGCCGCCTCACGTCTCGTCCATCCTTCGATCTTTTACTATATATATATATGGGAAAGGGTGTCAGAAATGAAATCTAGATATTCAGCATAATAAATTTGGTTTATACCTTCTAATAAGCTATAATTTTAAAATGAAGTATTATTGAACAAGGTAAGTGGGTTTATACATTAAGCCCACATTAAACAATCTTCATGTTGAATTGTTAGAAAATAATTAATGTAGAACTGAGTCTTTGTGTGATGATTTGGGATTGCATTGCCTCAGCTGGATACAGAAGCGTAAAGATTTACATCACGAAACAAACAACACTGAATAACAAACCAGCCTTGTTTATTATATATCTAAAATGTTTAGGAAGAAAGGATTTTTCTCCAAATGCCTGAAAACTAGGGCAGTCTAATTAGGTCCCTTCCAATTCTGTTATTCTGCATTTTGACCGCTGATCATCTGTAGAGATAGAGGAAAGGTCACAAGGAGAGATGCTCAGCACACTGCCGCCCCTTAGTAATTGTTTATCTCAGATGCCTATGAGCTACCTTAATTAGCAGCACCAGGCAGTACCAGGTGCAGCAGCCAATATGATCTCGTTGGATCAGCCATCCATTGACTGGCAAGACGTGAAAAACCTGTCCACCAAAGCGCAGGCAGTGCTGCAACAGCAACAAGTGGAGCAGATCCCCGAGAACTTATGTGCTGCCATTTTTGTGGTTTTAACTGTCAATTCCTTAGCCATCATTTGTTTATGTTTGATTGTTAATTGCTGCCCTCTAGTGAACAGCAGCTGTCATCTCACCCAAACACTCGCTTGAACAGAGAGGGTGCAGCTAGCTAACATCACACAAAATAATGTCCTTTGCTTATCTGAATCGTATGACATGGAAAATTTGCTTTCTACATGCTTGGTCCCTGTTTGTATCCCGTCTGCAATAATTCAAAACTTTACTGGCTTGAGTAGATTTCTCTTAAATGCAAACTTTACTATGGGACTTTTTAAGTTCTGAGGGACACAGACTGAGGAGACCGGTTAGCAACAACAGGAACCTTTATTAACAGACTAGAACAGGCAAGACAAACAAAAACCCCATCTGACAGCTATTTATACTTGGAGCTGTCAGACAGGGAACCAATGAGAAACCCAGGTTTCTCCCGCCAGCTGGCAGGCGCGTCCTGGCCAATCAGAGGCACCTTGCACAGCGCCATCTGCTGACCAGCGCCATCTGCTGACAACAGGACTATATCTAGTTGGGTGTTGATTGCCTATGATCCACCCCCTGACGCAATTTCTTTGCACATCCTGGTAGTAGCAGTCCCTGAGAATATAACATGTGCAAAAATAGTTAATTGTACATCTTCAAGTAAAAACCCTCACTGTCTTCGTATTAGTTAACCTGTTTTAAACTGCACAGCTTTTGAGGAGACTTTCTTTAATTTTGCCATGTTTGGCTCCCGCAAGGATGGCTTTTTACATGTGGTCCAGAAACTTTTAATTATATTCCTGCTAAGTGAAGCAAGTGTTGTCTCAGCCGGTTGATCCAAACAGCAAATTCACTCAAACCGTTCTTAACATGGAGTCATGCTAGATAGCACTTGTGACTCTGAGACAGCTTTACTTAATAAAGTAAAGAGTACGTAGCATTGGCTATATCTATAGTGGGTGTGCCAACGCTTGCTGCTCGCGCTCCATCTTAACATTAACGCTGTTGAGTGTAATTTGGCAAAAACAATTAATGTACTTCTTTAGCTATTTCAGCAATTAACCATGAGCTGCAAGCTTTGTGAAAGGCTATTTTACAAAATCGCCCTGATATTGATTATTTGCTTCTGCGTCAGTATTTGGGTTGTGAAAATTTTGATGAAATTTGTTGTTTTAATATTTCAGATGAATTACAAACCATACAGCACCAGCTCAATATTTTACCCAATTTGGCCTCTGATTTGAAAGTTGATACTTTAGGATGTTGGTGGGAAAGCTTTTGGGCTTGGTTGCCCACAGGCCTAATGGAAAATGTCCTACGTTATTTAGTTATTATTTGTGCTATTTTGATTGGTGGTTGCTGTTTTGTTCAGTGTCTTCCTTCCTTTTGCAATATATGTAATATATTGCAAAATATATTTGTAATATATAGCTTTTCGCCCTAAACCCCCTCCCGCACTACCTCAGGGTCAAGTATATGCCCTGTATAATCAACTGCAAGGATGTTCCTCTCCTGATTATGATCCTTTTACTAACCCCTCTTACGATACCTTGTCTTACAAAATAGAAAAGTGTGAGATGTAGAGATAGAGGAAAGGTTACGAAGAAGCATGCGCAGAACACTGCCGCCCCTTAGTAACTGTTTACCTCAGATGCTTATTAGCTCACCTAATTAGCAGCACCAGGCAGTACCAGGAACCATCAAGATATGTGAGACTCTACCCTGGCTGGGATGTTCTTAAGATTGACAAGGAGAATATATCAATTATAATGCTGTTGCTATATACTTTTTGCTTCGCTTGTTAAAACTGTATAAAAGAATAAACTCTGCAAAGGCAGACGGACATTTTGGGATGAACCCTGCTATGACTGGTTTCTGAATCCATCAATCATCTCCAGAAGAACCATATTAAAACAGGACCAAAAGTGATTTATACATAGAGGGGCCATGAACACCACCACGTTAATTTGTATGCATTGTTACCAATTCCTGTGAAAACATTGCTTTCTTCTTTAGCTTATGCTTGCAGTTGTAAGAATTTTTTAAAAAGAAGAGTGATTTGGAGTAGTTGAATTTACACATCCAATGTGAAGAAACAAAAAGCGAATCTAATGTTTTTTACTGATTGCTCTTCTAAGTATAGCGGATGTGACTGTAGCTTTTTGAGCAGGATCAGTGTTGGAACAGAGGGATGAGTGGTTGGCCAACTCACAGGTAAAAAGAACTTTGAATTTGGACTTAAAAAGGGTCCCAGAGTTGAATTAGTGGCTAATTGGCATTTGGGAAATTTTATGGAGGAAGGAAGATACAGTGGAAGTTAAAGTACTAAAGCCTTAGAAGATTCTTGTTTTTACATTTTGATTCAAAGACACTAAAAATAATAAAAAGAAAGAACCTGGGGGGAAAGTTTCTTTCTTTCTTTTCTTTTTTTTGTGGATTTAAAGTGGTTTTTCACAGTTTTTGACAATCAGCTGTTGGAGTGTATTGCGGATTGGAGAGAGCCATCTGCTGGTGAGAAGAAAATACTACAATACTTAGTGAAAGAAGAAAGGGAGAGTGCAGCTGCAAAATTTGATCTTGGCTACAAGAAAAGATACTTTGGAACATGAGAACTTTAAGGAGTGTTTGTTTTTGCAACATTGTTTGGTTTCGACTTTCTATAGCCGTGGAAGAAAATAAATTCTCAACTTGGATTGGACTGGACTAATACTAGAATTGGATATTAGAATTTGGGGGGGAAAAAGAGAAAAAAAGAATTACATGGACTTTAAGTTTTAATTAAATTGATATAACCCCCAAATTTTCAAAATTTGTTAAATTAGTTAAACTGGCATTATGAAGCCTTGGATGTATGATAAACTATTTGAGATGCTAAAAAAATGCACATGAAAATTGATAAGAAAAAGTCAGAAATTCAGATGGAGCACACAGACCGGGGAATAGGAGAGAAGGAGGGAAAAGAGGGCACAAATGAAAAACAAGAAGTTAATATGGAAGAAAAAGGAACTGAAAATAAAAACAATTAGATGATTTCACTGGGATTTACAGTGGAACAAAAAAAGTAGACAAGGGGGAACCTCCCCCCCCAAAAGAAACAATCAAACAGCAAAGAAGAAAATCATGGAAAGAGACTAGGAAAAAACCTGTGGAAAACTACTAGAACAATAAAATTAAAAGTGAGAAAAATGATTTTGAAGAAAAGATACAGTAATTATAAAGATAAGAAAAAGAAAAAGAAGAAGCGAGGAGAATGGGGAGAAAGAATAAAATTAATAAGAAGTGGAATATTTGAGAGACCAGGAGAAAATGGTTAGAGGAGGAGGAAGGAAAAGAAGGGACATATTAGTAGAGTAAAGGGAATTTTATTAAGATTGTTAATGGTATGTAGTTAATTAAGATATAAGGAAATTATAGTAACATTGTTAATTGTGGATAATTAAGTTAATGTTCTCTATGTTAAAACTAAACTTGAGGAGGCATGTTGCTTACAGTAAAATAGACCAACAGATGAAATATGAAATGATAATTTGGTTTAACTTTGAAGGGGCAATTAGTGATATTGTTTATGTATTAAGAAAATAAGTTTAAGATGAAAAATATGGGAAGAGAATAATATGGTTGAAATTGGAAACAGAACTATGATGTAAAATGGATTATGTACTGTATATGAGAGGATGTAAAAGAAAAGACCAGGACAATAAAATATGTCAAAATTTGTAATAAAAAATAAAAACCTTGGGGGGAAAAAAAGGTCAACAGTTTGGCGGTTCAAATCCCTAACACCGCGTAACAGAGTGAGCTCCCGTTACTTATCCCAGCTTCTGCCAACCTAGCAGTTCAAAAGCAAGTAAAAATGCAAGTAGAAAAATAGGGACCATCTTTAATGAGAAAGTAAAAGCGTTCCATTAGCCTTTGGCATTTAGTCATGCCGGCCACCTGACCACGGAGACGTCTTTGGACAGCGCTGGCTCTTTGGCTTTGAAATGGAGATTAGCACTGCCCCCTAGAGTCAGGAACGATTAGCACATATGTGGGAGGGGAACCTTTACCTTTTACCTTTACGTTTGGTATAAAATGAGATCCCCAAAAGAGGAGTAGGTATTTGATATTTATTTGAAGATCTGGACTTTCATTTAAATAAACAAAAATGGCTGACCCAACATGTCAAATAAATTAGTACCAAATGTCCAAAAAAATTAACAAAAAGGAAAATTGATTTTGTAACATCAAACTTTTTAAAGCAATTGATACCAAAGGCAATAAACCAAATATTTTATTGGCCAGTTACAAATATTTTGAGCACTTGAATAATTTTCATTGCTATCTGATAGTCCTGATAGCATCATCAACCTAGTGAGTTCAAATGTACCTGTGTATCCAGGTCTAGTAAGAGACCCGAGTAAAACACCAGTTTGAGCACTAGGAATATTATGTTCTTCAATCTGAAGCAGAAAGCAAAGTTTTGGCAACAGCTTTGCAGCCAGTCTTAGAAGCCAGTCTCAATTTATTGCTGAACAAGACACATCTGCCCCACATCTGTTGCCAAAGGACATTTCACTATCATGGTTAAAAACTGGGAGGTTTTGTTGGCATAACTTTTGTTTTAAATCTATGTCAACATTAGATTTTTCCAAAATCGAAGAGAATATCCAGACAACTCTAATATACAGAGATAGGATGTATCTTGGCCAACTAAAGCAGCTGTAGTATTTGGGAACATTAGTGTTTTCTACCAATATTGCCAATTTATTTCTGAATGTAAGGATTGGAAACTTGAATGGCTTTGGGGTGGGAGGAGGAAATTGCAGAAATCAATATTCAACACTTAGTGTGTCTATTTTATTTTTGCATCCCGTAAAGGTCTGGAAATAAAATTAAATCTTAACACCAGAATATGAAAACAATAAATAAACCTGGTCATATTAAACTCCAGCTAGGCCACCAATGAGGGTTAGAAAAAATGAGATGGGAGAGAGAGGTAGGCCACGTTTACATAAAGATGTTGGTTCATTACACAACATCACCAACTCTTACATCATGAACATATGACTTAGGTGAAATGAGAGGCTTATTGTCAAAAGCAGAAAAAGAGCTTTCCTACCTGTAATAAATTTAAACATCAGATCATTAGACAATGAAAGTTGAAACAATTTATATAACTGAATTGTGGATTTTACAATGAGAGATACCACAGTATCTTTTATCTCAGATGTGAGATATGAAACTTGTTTGATTTGGAGCACACACTATCTTTAAAAAACTGTCTTTTTATTCTGGAACTGGACTGCAGGAAAATGGAAGTGGACTTCTTAGCTACTTTATAACATGGAGAAACACAGAAAGAAGAAAAGGGAAGTGAAAGATCACATGCAAAAGATGGGATTTTAAGTAAAAGATATATATTTTATCACATGTGGCTTTCATTTTTTTAAAAGCTATCCTTTCAAAGCTACTTCTCAAAGGGAAAAGTGATATTCTTGTACCACAAGAATTGAGTGGGTAGTCTGTACGGGAATTCCTCCAATCTTAATTCTGCATTGAACAAGCTTTATAACAAAGCTTAGAAAGTACAAGGTTGCAATCTTGTGCATGCTGAGCTAACATTTTGAGTAATCAGTTTAGCACTATATTGTTTTCTGTATTGTTTCCAAAATGCGATTCTTGGTTTCTGATTTGAAACCAAGGTGAACTATGTAAATCAGATTAGGTATAATCTATATCAGGAGTCTCCAAATTTGGCAACTTTTAAAACTTGTGGACTTCCAACTCCCATAATTCTTTAGCCAGCCATGCTGGCTGGGGAACATTAAGAGTTGAAGTCCACAAGTCTTAAAAGTTGCCAAGTTTGGAGATCCCTGATCTCTAGCAAAGAAATTCCTCCCAGTTCTGTCTCTCCAACTGTAAAAATGTGCCTGAAACTTTCATTGTATTTGAACGATCAAGCACTTTTATCCAGAGCCTGAAGGCATCACTTGAACAGTGGTAGCAGAAACCAGAAAGAGCAGAGCAGATTAAACTCAACGATGAGAGCAAAAGTCTTCAGGATATAGAAGTTCTGAGCAAAAGGCTTCATGTTTAATTCAAGCTCAGAAAAGAAGCTTGACTAATCTTCAAGAAATTGAGACGAGGGAGAATTATTATTTGATATGTTACTTCTATTCATTCTTGATGATAATTGTCTTTGAAGAGCAGGGATACTAATGAATCCAAAGCTTCCTTAATCCACATTGCTAATGGAACAGCCAGAGTTCTGGAACCCTCACTGAGCTGGAGTTTTCCACCAGCAATTAAGAAAGGGGACCTACAGTGGACTTCTTTGGGATTTACCTTTCTCTATATTCTTCTTCTCACTAGTCAACTTTTGAGAGGTAGCAACAGCCATTGGGTTTATTTGTCTTTAGTAAAAATGTAGGATTATTATGGAGAGTCCATGGTTCTAGACTGAATGAGACTTGCATGAAAAAAGAGAAATAAAAAATTCCCCATAACAATTAAACAAAACAGGGAACCAGAGGGTTAAACGAATACACACCTTTCATGTATGCAAAGCACAGGAATATGCCATATGAAGGAAACAGGATAAAACATATTGAAATAGGATAGGAAGATGTAGCTGAAAAATCTACCAATTATTATTATTTTGTCTAAACCACTGTTTCTGAACTTTGGGGACTTGAAAATGTGTGGACTTCAACTCCCAGAATTCCTCAGTCAACTGGCTGAGGAATTCTGGGAGTTGAAGTCTACCCATCCTCAAATCGCCAAGATTGAAAAACATTGGTCTAATCCTAAAGAACTTGAAGTATGTTCTTAGTCCACTTTATATTCATTCATCTTTATTTTATGTCTTATATAGGGCTCACGCAGATACCCTTCCTGGTGGATTATGATCATTAAGAGTTTCAGAAAGTTCTGTTCAATTTTCCTTTTGCTTTAAAGCAGGATATTGCTTAATTTCTACAGTACTGTCTAACAGCGTTCTAGAAATCACAAGGTAAGAGAAAATTGTGAATCCTTCCAAAACAGATTAATGACACTTTGTATGAAGTGGGAGGCTTCCTATCGCAACTTTCATTTACAAATATGTACCTATTTGTATCAATAAAGAGGTGAGGATTTCTAAGTGGAAAAATGGGAAGAGGGTACCAAACTCTCCCTTTATTTGCGACTCTCCGGTGTAATTCTCTCCCAGCCACTTTCCCCACAAATGAACTGAGACGTGCAAAAAAAGAGAGAAATATCAAGTTCAATCCCCTTATTTCATTCATAGCTCTTCACCTTTTTGTTACATTCCGCATTTTGCAGGTGTGTCAGTTACAACCATTTTTCTCACTTACGATGCAAGATATGCTCCAACTTTGTCAATAGCCTTCATAGTTGATCTCATATACAGCCTCTAAAGAAGTCTGTTTCCCAGTGTAACAGATAACTCTTCATAATTTGACTCTCCTTCCTGCTTCTTTTTCCAAGGGGAAGCTCGGTCTCCACTGGCAATTCTTGACTTGTACCTGCTCATTTCAGAACCAATCAAAATTTGGTTTTGTGCAACACTGAAAGGGTGTTTCAAATAAGTTACACTCGGTTGACGGTGGTGGATGGGATTTCATCTATTCGTGATTGAGACAGTATCAACATTGTTCAGAAGAAAGAGTTCTGGCTGAGAAGTAAGTCCCAGATGATACTAGGCAAGACAAAAAAAGAAAATGGTGGCAGTTAGAAATGCTGTTTCAGAAGCAAAATCCAGAAATCAAATATCATGGGATCACCAAATTCCTCAGGAGGTAGCTAGCCAGTAAAGGAACCACTCAGGAAATGACAATCAAAGCTGTTTCTTATCTTCCAGAAGATCATTTATTTTATTGGCTAACCTATGTTTTTTTGTGTGCAATTCTGACATAATTCCAAGCCGAGAAAGGACTTTAGTATAATGAGGTATAGCCCTATTCTGATTTTTCTAATAATTTCTAATTCTAATCAGCTTTTAAGCATGAAGGATAGCAATAAAATCTATGGATTTTAAGAGAAACTTGACATAATACGTCATTTTTGTGTAGGCCATAATGCAGTTTGACTGAGTTCACACATTTGTGCAATGCAAAACAGGCCACATTATGGCTTAGCAGAGTCAGCAAACCCAACCCATTGCTAAATAATCCAAATGACCACTTAACTATTAAGATCTATTTCACGGACGCTCAATTTGTCAGGCTCCCTTTTAAAATTAAGCGAGAATGAGCATCCAGCGTGCTACAGCATTGAGCAGATTAGAAGCAAGAAGCTACTTGACAGCCAATCGCAGGAATGCACAATCCAATCACAGTGTTCCAAAGTAGACTCCACTGGCGATGATTCATTATTCAAAAGGGCTGAACCAGGCTCTAATGAACAAACCACTCCCAGCCAAAGTCCAAATTGCTAAATTTGCAAGTGCATTACGACTTAGCCTAGAAGCTATTTTTTTCTTTGTAGAATAGGCGGCTTTTAAAATCATTCTCAAGTGTCTTTGAAGTTAATAATACTTCCTAGAGGTTTTTCATTCTCAAAATCCAGTTAATAACTCCTGTTTTATATAAGGGGCAGACCTATTTGACCTATTCTAAGAGCTAAAGGGATTTGTTATATCAGTGAATGAATCTTTGATAACATAACAGCCATTATTTGATCCTAGTCTACTGTTCCTTGATTAAATTTTTAATAAATACAGTTGGCACTAAATCTCTGCAAGAGTTTGTTTCAGGACTTGTTGAAGTTCTAAAGGAGGCTTTTCAAGATCTTCTGAGCACAGGCCTCAAAGGTGAAAGGCTGGGTGTTAATCAAACTTGCCCAAGTAGACACCTTCTTATATCTGGAATTTTATATTTACAATTTCAATTATCCCTGGCTAGCATAGTGGTGGGAATGAAAGTCCAAAGCAGTAGGTTGGTGGAACCCTAGTTTTTTAAAAACATCAGAGAACCAAGTCCCTGAGGACAGATTGTTCTCCATCTCTCTCACTAGGCCTGTTCCTTGCAGTTGATGCTTGGAGAGATTAGCTTCCTTGCTGAAATAACACATCATTATTTCAGCAATACTTGATAGAAATCTTGCCCATATTTTGCCTGAAGCTGCAAAGCAAATGTTTGCACCTGAGTAAGTGGTGTGTTTTCAACAGTATATGATTGCTAGCCAGTATGTATGATACTTGGTTAATTTCCTAATCTTTTAATGCCTTCTCACAATGCTGTACAGTGATATTCAGAAAACAAGACCCTGGTATGGAATCATTTAGCTTGGGTGAATGGGATCTTCATCTTGCAAATTCTAGTGCTCCAGATGTTTATATAGCTGATTGAGACTATACATGTAGGACTTGAAGAGTGTGTTCAGTTCTGCATAAGTGCAACAGCTTCATTTTACCGTAAGCTTAGCTGTAACAATTGCCAGGGATAGCCATGAATTAAAGCGTGTAAAAAATGTCAATATGGCAGTCATTGCCGTTTTAAATATTTGACACACATTTCCTCCTTGCAGATGCCCTTACTGGCTGGTGGTTGGGAGACACATCTACATTAAGTAGACTTTCCATTAATTTGTTATCAACCTTGTACAAATTAATATTTTGAAGATTAACATACTATTTATTGCACTGCTTGACTGATGAGAACCCTTTTTAGTTATGCTTGGCAATGATTTGTTCTTCAATTCATATAGAAATATTACTGTTTACCACCCCCCTTCTTATTACTTAGGAGTGAATTGTTGGATTTAACTTCATTATTGGATTAAGTGTTTTCATTCTTTTGTCCTTTTCATTATAATGAAAAGAATGCACTTTCCTTAGTCATGATCTGAATTTGTTCTAGGAAATTCCAGAATTCCTATTCTGGAACACACACAGGGATCATTGAATCAGCATAAGCAAGCATCATCAGATTTTTAGATTCATGAAATTGGGGCTCAAGATACAGAGAATAAAATTTCATCTGTTAAATTTCACTAACACTCAATCTCATTTAGACTCACAAGTTGAAGACTATTTGCAATATCAATTTCTCACCACCTTATTTGTGTTTTAAGAGAAATACACCAAATTAATATTTCAAGTTATTTCTGCATTCCTAGCATTGGAAAAAACTGATCTGTTACATGTTCCTACATGCTATAAAAATGATGGGTGTAGATTACTATGAACTAGGCATACATATCTCATATACCTAGTAAAATATTAAGAAATTCAACATGTATTGAGTGTTCATACATGGCAGTGCTTCTCTCTTCCTTTCACTTGGAATTTAACACATTTAAAAGGATATATAGTTCAGTTTAAGTGTTTCAATGTTCTTGGGAATCCAAGAGATTTAAAAGTTCTTTTCAGCAGTATTTCTAAAAATCAGGGCTGAGGTTTAAGAAATTTCATGGTATGATCAGAGAGCTACAAATGTTCCATATTTGAAGGACTATCATACGTACAGCCACAGCTTCTAATTGTGATGAGACTTGCAGCACGTCACTCACAGGACATTATTAATCTTAAAATGAATACCCTTTTCTAGTATGGAAAAAAAACACTCTAGGATTACTTGGCAACTAGATGAATGCACACATTGTTCTGGCTTTTACAAATGTTGCTTTACATCTTGACTTGCTAGTCCTATGCTAAATTAATATTTTAAATAAGTCACGATTGTATTTTGAAGGCTTTGACTTTTTTTCCAAGAAGCCATTTTTTTTCTTTGTATATGGTATATCGAATATTACCAAACATTTGTGTAATATAAAATTATGTATGTTTCTCGTCTTGTAGGGACTGGAATGTTTCTTAGGGAGAAAAGCAATTACTTACGCTTTCCAGTTCCTTTAAAGCTGGCAAAGAAAGCTTGTCACAGAAGAAAGAAAAAACATTCTCATAATGTGTAGTATGTATGCAAGAGGATGGTTGCATTAGTTTTAATTTAATCTGCATATACAAATTACTTGGAATATACTAGAAATATATTTTCTTAGTGGGAAGTATATAAACCTTATAACATTGCTTCATTGGCCAAGAATCTTTTAACATTTTATTTTACCACTGAAAAATGTTTGTTTCAGCAAATTAGATCAATAATATAGATATGGACTCATACGAAACGTGTGTGTGTGTGTGTGTGTTGTATTTATTGCATTATGTAAAGCAGGCATGTCCAAGCCACACATGGTCCTGGAGAGTTAGTCATGCGACCCCACAGGTTGATAAATTTTTAACATCATATGATTATATACATGAATATATATTAATAATATATATATATTATATCCAACCCAAGACAATTCCTCATCACTCAGTGCGACCCAAGCAAGACAAAAGGTTGGGCACCCATAATCTAAAGCAAGACCAATAAATAGTGTCAAAAGTTCTAAAAAGCTTTAATCTAAACTTCCACTTTGCTTGTCCTATTTGGGTAACAGTTACTTTTTGACTTGATCAAGATAAAAAGTGAAGATTTTTTTTTTCAAAAAACTATTTCTTTCCAAGAGTGATCAGCAACTGAAATTTCAGCAGTTCCTTTGTTTTCCATCTTAGCTATTTGCCAATGCCCCTGTTTACGAATACATTGCAACTTTACAAGGGTGAGGACTCCAAGTTTCTTTGTTATTTGCATGTATTAAAACAAGTTTTAAAGATGACCCTTTAGATCAACGGTTCTCAACCTGTGGGTCGGGACCCCTTTGGGACTCGAACGACCCTTTCACAGGGGTTGCCTAAGACCATCGGAAAACACATATTTTTGAAAAAATATAAAAAACATAAAATAATTTTATGGTTGGGGGTCACCACAACATGAGGAACTGTATTAAAGGGTTGCTGCATTTGGAAGGTTGAGACCCACTGCTTTAGGTCTTCAGTTTTTGTTCATCTCATCTTAATAATATGAAAGATCAAATTGTTCACTGGAAATCTAAAAATAAAACAGCATTTTTTGACAACATGGAGATATCAAAATGCAAGAAGTATACATGTTCCAAAGAATCCTTATTTGTAAAAATTAAGAGGTCAAATCAGAGCTTCTGATGCAGTTCTTGAATAACAGAAGATCTCGGGGCAGTCACAAAAATAGGTTCCGAGAAGAAACATACAGTATATGATTTCACATCATAAAATTCACTGCCATAGGATGTGATGATGATGGGAATAAAAACTCAAATAGTTTTTTAAAAAAGTTTTATTCAAATACAGGAAGCTATATTTAGCAACAGATATTAGTTGAGAGGGTTCAATACACTTTGCTTTTTTCATTCAAACTTTACCCTTTGCCGAAGTGTCTGGCCAGTTCCTATTATCAAAATAATGGTGAACCTTGGTTCTCATACAGTCAAGAAATCATTCAATTTAGCAATAGCACTTAAACTGATAAACCGCTTCAGAGTGTTTGACAGCCCTCTCTAAGCAGTTTTATAGAGTCAGCATATTGTCTCCAACAATCTGGGTCCTCATTTTACTGATCTCGGAAGAATGGAAAGCTGACTCTTCCTTGAACCAGTCAATATAGAACTGCTGGCAGTCGGCAGAATTAGGCTGTAATACTGCATTCTAACCACTGAGCCACCACAGCTCAATTACAGTGTATCTGCCATTCTAGGTCTTTACTCTTCATTATAAGGATAATACAAAACTTCACACAGATGTTGATAGTGTTACACTAGAGCAGGGGTGTCAAACTCGCATCGTCATGGGTCATCACGTGACATATCGGGACTTTTTTCCCTTTCATTAAACCGGGTGTGGCCAGCACATGGGGGCTGGGAGTTTGATAGCCCTGCACTAGAGAGACGAAGAGCTTCCAGATTCCTTTTAACAAAGAGATGCTTCATCAAGATGCGTTCAACCTTCTTCCACACTCAAATGAATGCAAGAGGGAAACTGCCCATTCTCTAAATTGGAGAAAAGGTAGCTACGTTTTGTGAAATGTTTTCCATGTGTGTTTGAGAAAGATGATATGCTGTGGCCCGAATTAGATCATCTTTATGATGTTGATTTAAAAAGAAAGAGACCCAAGCTGAAAAATGTTCCATTTTTTAATCAAAATTAGGTATACAGATTGGTTTAGGTCAGATAAAAATAGACATTTGTTTCACATTATACAAGCCATTATGTAGCTCAAATGTTTAATACGTGATTGCTACATATCTGTTTTTTTTAAATCTCATACTATATTCAAATAGTGTCAGACAGAAATTGACATCCCAAGAAGCAGTTTGTCTTCATTCTGAGAAGTTACAAGTTTAAAGTGCATAGAAATAGTGTAGAGCAGCTGAGAGACTGCTATCTGTTTTAAACAGCAGAAATACCCAACCAGCCTCAGTGTAAACTATAATGCTAACAAAATCAGAAAACAGTCATCCATGCACAATACAAAGCTTGATATGTCTACACAGAGAATGCAAGATATATCTATCCTTAGAATCTGCAAAGGATTAACATATAGTATTTGTTGTTGATTTAGATGTGGGTGGGACATGCCAAATCTTTTCTCCTTATATACACAGAAAAAGAGTTAAATATGCAAGCCAGCAAACTTCAACTTGGAGCTATGAGATGATCTGACAAATTGCTCTTTAAAATATAGTACTCTGCTGCAGCAAATCTACATTGCCTACAACAGGAAGTGGGTGGTTCTCCATCAAATCTTAAGTCTTGCATAAGTTTCTTTCTAGTGAGTGGAGGTAATGATCCCTTGTTGAGTAGGAATTATCTCAATGATCTATGAACTCTATGAGCTTTGTAGGCAAGGGCATTTCTTTAAAAAAGACAAAACCGGAACAACCACCCAACTAGGAAAGTAAATTGTAAAGTAGATGGGAAATGTGCAGTCACTATTTTAATTTAGATATGTGAGGTAGAAGGATAGGTTTGTTTCATGGGGGTCCCATGCATGCAAAGTGGTCTACTTTATCGCCTCTAAGTTTCAACCTGGAGTTGTGGGATGATTCCAGTTAATTCTATTGAAAACTTTGTGTATCCAATTTTATCTCTTCCAGGCAAATATTCCCTGCCGCCCCCCCACCCCCACCCCGGCAGCCAATGTGTGGCCCAAAATTTTACAAGTATAGCCCCTCAGATATTTGAACAGGGTAAACTCTTCCCAGACTCAACATGCAAGCCGACAGATCTCCTACATTTGCATCCTTCCAATTGAAAAATGTAATTAATAAGAAATGCTATGGTCAGCTAGGAGGTTCTCTATTTAGGAGTCTGTTCCTATTGAAGCCAACAAAATGCAACAGTGACTATGTATTTACTATTTCAGGGACTCTGCTTAATTCAAGGTTAAGCAGCTTAGAGTTTTAATAGAAATTGAGTCTGCTTAACTAGGTAACCTTTGACATAGACTGATCAGGAAACTGGGATAATTCTGATAAAAAGTTACAGATCAGCCTGAGTAATCTTTTCAAACTTATAAATACTTGGAAAAGAAAATGATAAATCACCTCTTTTAAATCTATACGAAGTAAGCATAATATAGTTTTAACCCAAGCAGCTCAATTTTTAGTAACAAAGAAAAATTAACCTTGCTAAAATACATTAGTCATCCCAAGATTTATCATAAATACTTTTAAAAAGTGAAAAAAATACAAACACAGTCCTCTTGGTGTTGATGCTAAATGGGACAGCTGGCTGAAAGATGTTTTGCTTACACACTTCATTCAGTTCTGACTATTATACCATAATGAGTCTTTCCTTAGTTAGGAATAGTAGTTAGTATTATAATATGTATAAGGAGCATATTGTTCAAATCAATTAACATCTGAATTTAGGAATTTCTTCAGAATTTGAAACACAATTAACAACATACATATCAAAAAGTTAGTACCTCTATCTCAACTGTAGCAAAGTAAACAAGTAAACATTAATTTCATCATAAAGTTGTATTTGGACATCAGTAGTATTATTTGCAAATGAGTCTTCGCCAACCTTTGCCTTCCAGATGCGATGGGGGAAGTTAGAAGCTGTATAGTGTCAGGCTGGCGTAGGCTCAATTATTGCTCAATGCAACTCTTAAAGACTCCACCCCTCCATTCAGACTCGGGAAGGACCTCCTTTTTAAAGTGTATTGTACTTTATAAAGGTGGTTCTACTCAAATTGTAGTAGGAAAGTCCTATTTTCTCATTTGGTTGCTCCTACTGTGGATAGTACTACAAATCCCAGAATTCTTTCTTATCACCCTTAGTGGTTGCAAAGACTGGGAACTCTGGGACTGTAGCCCCAACACATCTTAATAGAAGCTTGATAGGAAGACTGCACAAGCTTATGTAAGTAAGGCAGTAAGATCTTTAAATAAGATCCTTGGGTGAAAATGTATATATGGATTAAAAGCTGTTTGCCCTCCATCTTGACCAAAAGCTCAGGAGTGTAATGTTATTGGTTCTTAATATTCTCTCTCTCTCTCCCCGCCCCCCCTTCTCTCTCTGTTCCATTTGTTTGAGGAATGGGGCAACCAACAGAAACATAGGTAAATCATTAGTGAAAATGACAGAGGGAGCAAAATTGAGCCAATTATAACACACAGTCACATTCTTAGCTGACCATATGCTTTTTAAATGGATGCTTATTTAATATTTTATGCCGGGAAACATTTCTGGCTAAAGGCAAATGTTCATCTCCTCATAGATAAGTAATTTGACAGTACTTTGGTAAGTCAGTTATTTTTGCAATGTCTGCACCTTAGCTGGAAAACAGCTCAGTCTGGCTGGCAACAGAGAGCTTGTTGTTGGCACAGAGGCCACTTGGTATCGGAAGACATTCCCAGCTTTGCCAGTTCATTTACATAATTAATTGATTTACATAATCAACTGAAAGCAGGAGTGATCTATGGTTTTAAATTAATTGGATGGGGTATTTTCCTCCAGACTCTAGCTCCTCTTCATTCACAGATAGGGATTTACCCAGCACCACAGTTGTCTATTCTAGATCTGAATACTGGCCTCTGGGGGAAAAACACCCTGACATATAGAAAACAAGCTTGGCAATGATTAAGATTTAAGGAGGTTTTCTCCCCCGCCCTTTTTTTTAAGGCAGGCAGATTCTTCTCCCACCCATAGCTTTATTGCTTCTACAGAAATTTATTTGTTGCTTGAAGCACGACAGAATGTGAACAAAGATGCATTCCTGAGCTCCAAAGAACTTTTGCTTTTAACTAACCAACTTAGATATCTGTATTCAACTACAGATGCTAGCAGTATTCTATTAAAGGGCAATTTATGAAATGTAATTTTATGCCATTTGGTTTATTAACATTAATTTGATAAATCTCAACTGGGGTGAAATATTAGCTTCTTAGTTAAATTATAAAATATCTTAGCTTTTAGCAGCATACAGAGAGATCTCCATTGAGAACTAATGCAGTACTAAGTGAATCAATTTTTATCCCGAGTGTGATTGTTGGTGATTAACAAGGAAAAATACACATAAGCTTTTCTCATATACTGTACATCGAATAATTTTTAAACACCATTATCACAATTTTAACACTGTGCAAAATTGCACATACATTTGGATATGTTTACAAAGTAAACCATAGAAACGCACTGGCCCTGATGGCTACTTGTTCTGAGTAGACACAGTAATTAATTAACTGCCGCTGAAGGCGGATCTTCAGTTAGCAAAGTTCTTGTGACTCTTACCGTATGCCCACAAGCCAGGAAGGGAACTCCGAGAGCAATTAAGCACTGCCAACTCTGTAAAAGAGAGAAGAATCCCAAATTAATGGTGCATTTATTAAAAGATTCAAAGATTTTTTCCCCTTCAAGCAAATCAGAGGAGCACCCCCATTATCCCTCCTCCTGCTCTGTTCAATGAAGCCCCACCATCCCTCAGTTTCTGCTCCGTCTCCCCTCCCAAAGTCATTTCAGAGAGAAGTGTCAGCAGGCAGGCTTTAAAATATGAGCCAGAGATGACACATAATTCTGATTCTGGTCAAGGAGAAGAACAACATTGTCAGAAAAAAACAAGCACTTACTTTATATATGCATGTCAAGAAACAAACCTGATTGAATTATTTCATCCTATGTTCCTTGGGAAGATTTTATGGCTCTGCCTGTCTACCCTAGGAAGCCTTTTCCTACCAGCTGCAAATCTAAAAATCATCATCTTTAAATAGATGTTTTTTATTCCTACCAATTTCCTAGTCAACCATACAGATAAGTAGCTCTCTGATTGCGAACAAACTCATACAAATCATTAGAACAGTTTTTAATCAAGCTTGATGCACATGAATATTACAGTCATTAAACAAAGCAGGCCTCTGGTGTTCCGTATGCTGATAGATAAAACTTACTCAAGTCAGCGTACAATGCTAGGAGTTGTAATTAAGCTCTATTTGCCAGGCTACAGATTTCTCAACCCTGTTCTGGAGTTTTGGATGTCTCCTAAGCTGTTTCCTTTTCTCCAAGCATGTGCTTTAGTTGGACACCGTCTGTCTTCATTTCCAAGCTGTGAGCTTTCTGGAAGGTCACATGGCTGGCCCATGTAAAACAAATAGTAGGCTAAATGGAGGCTCTGCTTTGACCTTGCAAGATAGTTCTTCTTTTCTCAAAAGACTTCTCCTCTAATACTGGTAGTCCTTAATTAACAATGGTAATTGGGATAGAAACTCCGGTACCAAGCAGTGTGGTCATTAAGCATGATGTCATATGACCACACCGCTTAACAATGGCAGTTCCAGCAGTCCCAGCTGCCATTGTTAAGCAAGGACTCCCACATCACCACATCTGATTTCCTGTTACCTTCCATTGACTTTGCTTGTGGGAAGCTGTCAAGAAAGGGCACATGATTGCAAGATGCAGCAATGATATAACTGGAGGCTGGTCATTGGGCACCCAAACTATGATTACATGGCCAGACAATATTAACTAAGTGACATTCCTCAACTGTAATAGCCTGTAACAAATAATGTTTACCTTTTGTTCATGATTCCACTGGATTTCCTTGAGTTTCTAAGCTGACAATTACAACCAAGCTGGTTTTTTTATCCTTATTTTGTTTGTTATGGATAGATACAACCAGGAGTGAGAAATATGGAGGGGGGGGGAGGGCAAGCAAGAGAGGTTGGAAAGAGTCTTCCTTCATGATTTCAGCTTGTGAGATAAACCCATAAATTTCAGTTGATGCTACTGAGAACTAGCTCTAAATTGTATGGCCCCTCCCTGTCCCTACAAAGCCACATCCTGGCTGTTTCTTCTGAAACATTTGACAAGATGAATGCCCAGAATGTGGTTTAGACATTGTTTAAACAAGGCTATTGCATTATTTCTAACAGGAACAATGTTTCTAACACAGCCATTATTTTCTAGAAGTACACATGCCTTGCCTTCTTGTACTCTGCACAATTCTATCTTATTTCCTCTAGAGATTATATGTTGATGGTTTCTGTGTTGGTGGCCCGGAGCAGCGGTGCTGCGGGAGGCTACAAGAGCTCGCAACACTTGCAGCAATGCTTTTGTGAGTGGGGCCGTGACCACCTGTGACGACCTATCAATGCCAACAGGCTCTGACCAACAACTTCAAAAGATTCTTTGTAGACTAGGCGGGTGGACAAGCAAATGGAAAATGTGATTAACTTTACATAAGTGTAAAATGATACACATTCAGATAACTACCAGGGTGTTCCCTGTGGTAAGATGGGCCACCAATAAATTTTATATTAAAAAAAAAACCTGCCTCAATTGCACACTGCCATTCATGGAACTAAGCTGCCTGTAGCTACTTTGGAGGCACAGTAGATGGCTCAAGGCGACCATTCAACGAACAACAGCTATTTTAAAAAAAACCCTATTTCATACTTGTGTTCATTAGGGAAATAAAATTGCCAACATGTGTAATGCCCTTATGCAAATGTATCTGGGATTCTGGGTAGAGTTCTGTGCATCATTTTTTTAAAGGATGTATTTGAGCTAGAAAAAGTATAGAATCAGGGGACTCCAACACATGCCTCATAGGAAAAGAGTCTGCCTGTTGAGTGTTTTGTTTTGTTTTGTTTTGTTTCCTATCCTATCCTATCGGATGACAGACATACATTTATCCTAGCATGTTTAAACTCAGTTACTGATAATTTACTGTGGTGGTGCACTGGTTAGAATGCAGTACTACAGGTTACTTCTGCTGACTGCCAGCAGCTTGGCAGTTTGGTTCTGGCTGGCTCAAGGTTGACTCAGCCTTTCCTCTTTCCGAGGTGGGTAAAATGAGGACCCAGATTGTTGGGGGCAATATTGCTGACTCTGTAAACTGCTTAGAGAGGGATGTAAAATCACTGTGAAGTGGTATATAAGTCTAAGTGCTATTGCGCCACTATCTCCACTGGAAGTTGGTTCCAATCTGGCTGGCCATTGTGAGAAACCAAATGCCATCTTAAAATGGGTCCTGGCCTCACCCAAAGGACTGTTCTACTGCTTCTATGACCCGGGATGGCTGGAATCTAACACAGCAAGTGCTGCAGGAAGAAAATGGGAGCATATGGTAACTGTACCGTGAAATGTGACTTAAAAAATAGCCTCCAGTCTGACCACTGCCTTTATTTGTTTTGTTTTGTTTTGTTTTGAAAGCCCTAAAGAGATCACTGCTAAGAGAACATGGAAAAAGCCTGTGAGGATAGCTGTACATGTAAGTCATAACTAACCAACTCACCAGATATGCCACGAAGGCTAAGTAGAGAACGCTGATAATTGAAGCACATATGTATAACACTGTTTGTCCAAGGGTAGTCACATAGATCACCACAAAGTACATGTTAATGCTGCAGATGATCACAATGAGAATTCCCCCAGCGATTTTCCAGCCCCTAGAAGACCCCAAAAAAATTATAAAGAAAAAAATGGATCAGGAATAACTATTTAGGACTATCTGTGGACAAAGACACACTCACAATTTAATTTCCCATTGGATTACAATTGTCCTGACATACTCATCTCTCACTTACACACAGCATAGTGGACAAAAATAAAATTACATTCTTTGAACCATACAACATACTACAATGGCTAAAAATCATTACTTTCCTACTAGCAGGTCTTAAAACTTCTTCAAACATTTCCCCATCTTTAAAAAATGTACCCAAATACAACTTTTTGATTTGATTTGCTTTCAACATTTTAGTTATAAACCTTCAATCATTCAGTACATTTCCCCTGACAAACACAACTGTCTAGATTTTGATATATTCGTTTTCTGGTTTTCCAATCCTTGGACACAAGTCCTCATACATGCTAAACAAATTGCAATGTCAGTTGGGATTTCATCTCCCAGGAATCTTGCACTCCTGTTTTTAGCCAATGTTTGCAAAATAAACAAACAATAAATAAAACTGTTGAAACCAGTGCTTTGTGGGCTGCAAATGGGATACAGAAGACTATGATCTTCAGATTTCCCATTTCTGATTTATTCTGAATAACTTAGAAGTCTATGCATTGAAAACCAGCAATGGTTACAATAGGAAATTAATGCAACCTTTGGCAAAAGAATAAGCAACACTGCATAAGAAATGTTAAAATGTTTCTTTCTATATATTAGACATCAGATAGTTAGGCATGGCTTCAAACTTTTCTTATGTTTACTGAAAGGTATTTTGTTCTTCTAAGATGTTTATATAGCAAATCTAGAAATACTGTATGTCAATTGTCAATATGCAAAAAGTCATAAAATCTATAGCCAAGTGCAGATTCGGGGTAATATTTACCCTGAAAAAGAAGAAGCATTCATCTGCAGTTTTTGTGCTAGTGTATGTTCTGCTAATCTAGAAAATATCTTTTGAAAAATAACCACAAATGAATAGATTTGTGCTGGTTATAATATAAACTCTATTCTGCCATTGGCAGACAGAAAACAGAAAGGAAGTGCTCTCTCATTGTGTAATGGGCTGTGAGAATAACCTTAAGGAATAGAAGGAAGAGCCTCGCTAAAACTATCAAGATATTTAAATTTAATAGCTGGAAAAGGGGAGTTGTACAATGAGTCAGAACACACACTTATAGCTGATTGGCTGGAGAGAGCTGTCTCCTGACGAGGCAATCTATACTGCGATTGGTTACTGTGGACGTAAAGGGGGAGTTTCCTTTTTTCCCGCCTTTTTCCTTTGTGTGCTATGGGTGCTCTGTAATTTACCTCACAATGTTCCTGCTGTGTCGTTTTACCTCACACAATGCTCCTCCTTGCCTGACTATCTTAACTGATGTAAAATATTGGTGTGAAATAGATTTCTCTATATAAAATGACAAGTTCATGTCCACTTCCATGACTTCATTTGGACACCTGCCACAAAAACAATGGTCAGATAAGAGAAATCTAAGTCCAAAGCGGGACTGTAATTTGAGAAAACATCTCAGACTTGACCATCCCTAGTTCTATTTAGGATAAAGTGCCGGTGGTGGTAGTGGAAGGAGGCACATTCAAAGTTGCCAGATTCTATTGCCGTAATAAAAGTAGTTTTAATATTCATTACTTTGGTATTAAGTCTGCCTACCTCATAGAGTGGGCACAATGTGCTAAAAACATAGGTGGTCATTATGCATAAAGCAGGCCCTGCTGCTATATGGCGACAATGACAAAAAGTCAGGAACAGCTAAGCTTAATCACGTATAATACGCAATACATTCCAGATGAGTGCCTTTCTTCATACTTACAGGCCATTGGCAAAGTCATTCATCACTGGACGCAGACTAGTGAACGTGAGCACTGGGATTAAAGCAAAGGGCAACTGGAAAGGAAGAAAAAGAAATTATACTCAGAAAAGGATCTTTTTGTTATCTATGCACAAAGAGAGCTGGTTTAGTAGTGAACTATTAATGCAGAAAGCTGAAAGCAGTTCCAAAACACGACTTATTCACTTCAAGCTTTTTCTTTCATAAACTGCCAGAAAGATTTTTCTGGTCTGAACATTTTTCTGGTCTGAACATAGCATTTTCTAAGAACTGAACAGCAGAAGCGCTATTTGCTCTTTACATTGAGGCCACCCTAAAACTAGATGGCTGAATACAGGCGACCATGGCAATAAGGTTTGATACAGATGGTATTCGAGTGTAGACAATCCATCCTATAGTGAGGACACATTCAGATTTCTTTCCTCTTTCCAAGGTTTCAAAGCTCTTTCCAAGGTTAACACATCAAGTCTGACCCTTCTGCCACGCTTTGTTGACCTCAGACAAGGGGAAACAGAAGAGGAGGAAAGAGAAATAATAGCAGAATTACCCAGTTTCCAATTAGGCAGGTAAGTCAACAGAGCAACTCAGAAAAAGAGGATTGGATCTAATCGTTTTTAAATGACAGAAGAGTACATTTTAATGTTAGGAAAAACATTTAGCAAGATATTAGGAAATATTAGGAAAAACATTTAGCAAGAAAGGCAGTATAACTCCAATCTGGAAAGTCTAGCACTCCGCAATCAGATAATAAGAGGTCTCTCTCTCCCTCATCCCAAATCTTCAGAAGAATGGCTTTAGCTCCAAATTTTGAATATGAATTAGAAGTTCAGTATTGTATGCTTCTACAGTACGTCCAAGCAAAGGAGAACATACAAGCAGAGAATGAATAATGAAGCAAGAGTATTAAGTGGCTTCAAAATTACGAGTTGGGAAAGCTTCCTACTGGGAAATAAACATTTGAGAAAATTGCAAGAGGAAAGGAAGATAACCGGATTTGCTGAAGCTACGGTTTATTGCTTTAGAAAAAGCAGGCTTAAAAAGCAGAAATTCAACTGGAATGATTCACAAGTAAGATCTAGCTTTGATTTGGCACATTAAGCTGTTCACAGGCCTTGTTTCACCACAGGACATCCAATCTCTTATGATTAGTGTTGATAATTCCCAAACTGCTGAAAAGACATTTCCACTTGCAATTGATATATTCTATGCTTAAGGAGAGTCCAAATGTTCTTGATTCATCAAATTAATTACTTATTGAGAATTAACTGCATTTTCATTAATTTATTAGTTTCATTTGAATAAAAACAATAGAATGTTCTCATTGTAGCCTGCAAGGCTACAAGTCAGCATAGCTTAATCCTAGCGTTTTTTCTTTGTCTTGCACTCCACACCATTTCTCAGCAATAATCTGCAAGAGGTAGCAGCCATCCCTGAGGGAAAAACCTTCCTAGTTCGCAAGATAATAAAATGATCTCTCTGCTTCACATAATGTAGTCCTCATCTAAACAAAATAAATATGGGATGGATTCTCTAGGGACCCAACTCCCTTCCAGCTATGAGCCCAAGAAAAATAGTCCTGGATAAGGTTAGATAAAATTTGTAATGTAATTCTGGAGAGAAAAATCAAGGGTAATAGAAAGCCATGAAAAATATCCCCTTAAAAGAAAATATTTGTAGCTCAAGAGTTGAAGTAAAGGGTCCTTGGTGTTCTCTGAGCTTGGTTGTTTTCTTGCAGATGTTTCATTACCCAAATTAGCTAACATCATCAATGCAAATCAGTTCTAGTTGATCATGTTACCTTGTTTCAGTAATGAAACGTCTGCAAGAATACAACCAAGCTCAGAGAGCACCAAGAACCCCTCAAATATCCCATTGCATGCCATCACAAGACTTTAATCCTTAAGTGATCAACATGATCAACTAAAACAAAAAATAGGATTTTGAGGAGCTTTACAGTGGAATTGTTTTGGTCAGCCATTCATTTTAAGTAAGATTTTGTGTTGCAGTTTCTAATATCACTGAATGTACTTATTCACTCTTTCCATGTTTCCATCCAGGAAAAAAATGAGGCTGGTATTATTAGACTGTTTGCATTCACTTGCCAAACATCTGGCACTGGATTGACAGTACAGGTAGTCCTCGACTTTACAACAGTTCATTTAGTGACCGTTCAAACTTACGTCACTGAAAAGTCACTTATGAGAGTTTTTCATACTTATGACTGTTGCAGCATCCCTATGGTCACATGATCAAAATTCAAACATTGGCAACTGACTCATATTTATGACGGTTGCAGTGTTCTGGGCTCATGTGATCACCTTTTACAACCTGACAAGCAAGATCAACAAGCAAACCAGTTTCACTTAACAACTGTGTTACTAGTTTACCAACTGCAGTGATTCACTTAACTACTGTGGCAAAAAAGTCATAAAATGGGGCAAAACCTGCTTAACAAATGTTTCGCTTAACAACAGAAATTTAAGTAAGTAGTAGTTTTCCTTTTTTTATTTATATCATTTTTGCACATCACAGTATTAGATGTAGATTCTGCCTAGAAGCCCAGATGAAACTACTACTGTGTTTTTCTGGGGAGAAGAACCATGCTTAATGAGATATCTATGGAGATTCATCCGGGTCATGTTTGTTCCAAAGGTGCTTTTTCAAGAGGCAACTGGACTTTCTGGTTTTTTTCTTTGAAGACATTTCACTTCTCATCCAAGAAATTTCTTCAGCTCTTCAGAACATCTTAAAAGAAAAACCAGAATGTCCAGTTGCCTCTTGAAAAGAAAGCACCTTTGGGACATGCCTAATTAGTGTCTTTACCTGTAAACTCATGAGGACATTGAGGAAGTCATTCATGCCTGTCAAGTGTTCCACATCTTTGAAAATGGCAACCAGAAGAGTTGGCGTGATGGCAATGGAACGGGTTAGAACCACACGAGCAAACCGCGACCACTTCAGATTGAGGAATCCCTGAAAACAAGGAAGAGATCAGAACCATTCAATCAGAGATACAAGTGTACTGAAATACTGAAGAAAAGTAGTATCTTTCTTGGATAAAAAACACGTCTGACTATAACTTTCACAAACTCGTCTACTTCCTGCAGTCAAAGTCAAAGTAGTTTCGCAGCTATTGACCAGACCAGAGTAAAATAGCAAAATTAAATTTATAAACTAACATTGAGGTAAAATAGGAGCCAAGTAAGGCAAATAAAGTTAAATAAAATATATATTCAAATCAATCTGTTCTTGGTAAGGTCCAGACGGGCCTTAATCTGCCTAAAGCAGCTATTTGTGGTTGTCAAATGAATTGTTTTGAGAGCACAAAACATATTAGTGTCCAATACTTCAGAGCTCTCTGCAATTTCTGGGCAATCTTGGGAACAGGTGCAACTGCCACATTTGCATTTTTTTCAGGAATCAAATCTAAAGCACAGTTTATTCTAAATAATATTGGCTTAGATAATATGGCCTGAAAACACATGAGAGCTAGGGATATACAAAATTCTCCAACCCAGGAGTTGAATGTTTTGAAGAACTTTGGAATGTCTTCTTCCAGTTTATGTTCACTCTCCCCCTGGATCATTTCTTCCAGGGGCCAGTTTGGTAGTGTCCAGAAGTAAATTTTCTAAACTAAAAGTAATTGGATCTGGTCCTAAAATCCATTCTGTTTCATCCAAAACTCTTCTGGTACTGAGGACTTCCTTCTGTAAACCCCCAAACCACCCCAGGAAACTGGGAGGGGGTTCGGAAGGGAAAAGAGGGTCATTTTAGAGTTCTCCAGAATGTTCTATTTCCAGATTGATAATTTCTGCAGATCTCTAATGAGACTCATCAATAATGAGATTCATCAGCAAACAGCAAGTTGTGGACAAATAAAGTTACTGCAACTTGTTTTCACAGTAATAAATTGAGGGAATCAACCCTACCTTCTGTCCAATGGTAAATGTAACCCTTTATAGATATTGCCTAATCTTAACCTACTTCTGGAGGGGGGGGGGGTTGTTATGAAGAATGGAAACTTGACCTTAAATAATACTAAATACTTTCAATTTACATCAAAGCCAGATGGTGTACTTACCACTTATCAGTGGTTTAACAAAGGCATAAGGAAATTTAGCTGTGTGTGATTGTTCTAACAAAAATAGAAATGCAGGGTTGTAGGAAATGGTCTTTTTCTTGCTCAGGCCTTTGGTCCATCTGATCCAGGCTTGTTGGATTTTAGTGGGACTTTCCCCCCAGCCTTTGCTGCTGATCAGACTTACACACAACCATTCTACCACTAAGTCTGGACCCTCCTCATTTGTAAGTACCCAATTTACCCTAATTTAATTATGGACATTCTTTCCAAATTTAATTCCAAATTAATTAATTTAATACAAAACCTAAGGCAGGTAGTTTGCTTTGGATTGACAATTGTTAGCTGGTCACCACAAGAGAAGCAGGCACAGGACCACAGAAATGACTTTGTTAACCCTATGAACAATTGAACTTATACAAAGACAAAGAGATTTGATTAATGGCAGCCTAACTGGTATCATAAGGGAAATACTTGAATGACATTTCACCCACAGGTTAATATAAAGAGAGCATTTTACACAGCACGGTATCCTTTAATTGCCTGAAAAGATATCCCTTATCCAGCCCCATATCCCAGTTATAGGGCTGGATAGCACTTTGGATTCCATTTCTTTTGAGTGCTTGGGAATGTGAAGGTGGCATCAGTCCTTTAAAGCAGCTGTATCTCCCCCTAGTTTTGCACAATTAGCTTTTGAAGGAACTACAGACAGATGCTACCTCCACGGTCTGGCACACACTGAAGCTCCTTTTACAAATCAAATCCTAAACTCTCCAACTTTGACAGACATATTCCCAATCCTTCTGAAGTCGCTCATCTCTATTTCCTTAGTTCGGTTTATCAATGATAGTTTTCAGTATCACTTGGTCGCTGTATATAAAAATCTGTTTACAAAAGAAGGCACTACAATAGTCATGCAGGGAGTACAAATACATTGCTTAAGGATCACATGAACTGCCCAGCTGAAAGGGGAAAATGTCAGCATGTACTTTTTCTCACAAAGAAAGTGTCCATGCCATCTGGTTCCCAGATTCCTAGCTGTGGCATCTGGGAATTGAGCCACTTGGACAACATTCTTAGATTCCTATCGCTTTAATTTGCAGAGCCTATAGAGATATGGATTGGGAAGACAAGTCAAATGTAAATCCACAACATTTTAAAAGATTAAAATACCTCCATAACAAACTGTCCAGAGTACGTTCCTGTCATTGTTGAACTCTGTCCTGCAGCAAGGATACCAATAGCCCAGATGTAGAGAGCAGCAGGGCCAAAGTAACAACCGAGAATTACTCCCTAAAACACAAGAGATTTTTTTTTAAAAAAATGAAGCTGTAAACCTTAGATTATGCTTTCTATGTCAGCAGCCTAATGCAAAGTGACATTTTACAAAACCAGTAAAATTGGATTTGCAAGGGCCAATTTACTCAGAGAGACTTGAATCTGAATGCTATCGTTACTATGCACAAGCTTATTTTCCAAAAATATCACCGTGGCCAAGAAGAACACTTTGTTCATAAACCTATCCCAGGTAATTACATTGTTCCTCTGGATGGAAAAACCTAACAAAATAACCTAAATACAGTTATGGCCTTTTGCAAATATGAGCAATGATAGGAGGAGAAGGCTCACAAGTACCTTATGCCGAAAAATATTTTCTTGATCTTGAGAGAGATATCTGGAAAGCAAATAACTACCAAAGTGCTAATTTTGGTACTGCGGCATTTGGAGTTACTTTATTTTGTAGATATTTGTCTCCTGTTAGAACTCCGGTTGCTTTGGTATTTGGAGAGTTAAAGAAGGCAGAACTGGAAACGCTTGTGATCTTTTCACAGATCTGTTTCATCTCTCCACTTAGTCTGTTTTAGAAGTTTTAGAAATATCTTTAGCATATTCAAAGGCTGATTCAGAGATTCCAGAGCATTACCTATGGATATTTAACTCTTGCTAATTTGAACATGTAAAGCTTTTCACTCACCCCTTTGTAGATATCCACATCCAGGGTGCTATTATCTGATTGAAACACCACAGCTTGGGCAAAGCTTTTATTTGCACAGATGTCATGCTGTAAACATACAAGTAGCCATTTCGTTTTACAACCAAAAGACCCATGTGGCACAAAAAATCGTTTTAAAAGCATAACAACCAAGAAGAATTCTGGTTTACATTGATCTTTCCCTCCTGTAAGGAGGAGAGGAGGAGGGACTGCTGGCATGCAAGGAAACTTGAAACACACAAAAAGCAGTCCTTCCAGTGTAGCCTCAAGCTCTTTTGCCCATTCACTGGTCTTGAAAGACCAGCCCAAATAAAAAGGGAGTATGACAGGTGCTACCCTCCAAGTGAGGGGAAAGGAGAGATAGGGTTTGACAGATGACTTCTTTCCACCACAACTTTTATTGTTTTTTATTTATTGTAAAGCATTCTGTCTTGGATACATAGAGCTGATGATCCTACTGGGGTTCTACTATATTATCCTTGGTACTTGCTGTAGTGGTTTAATTCTCTCCACTAACTCTCCCTTCTAAAAGCAGGGGAAGAGAAGCTGAGGTTCATATAGAAATCCCACAAACACACGGAAACATAACCGTGTATGCACAATTCCTCCTTCTTTTTTAAACCAGAAGCGCAAACAAGATGAAGAAGGAAACAGGATACAGATTGGTGGGAAGAAAAGGTATAACAACATTGGCAAGAGAAGCAAAATGAAGGAACAAAGCTGGATGGAAGGAAGGGAAACAGTAACTAAGCGGGAAAGGAAAGAAGCATGTAGGAAATTGGAAAGTACATTAACCCATATGATTTGGTCATGTCCATTTTTGGTTGTTGTGTGTGTGTTTTTTTAAGCATACATATAGAAGTAATTGTATGGGGGAATATTTTCAAATTAAAGATCAATGACATTTTGTATTATGTTCCAAAATTGGGGGAACCTGAACATTTTTGAAGAATATTGCTAAAGGGAATAGTTAAAGGAATTATATTGAGAAATTGGGAATGTATTATTGCACTTGATATCAAACCCTGAATTTAAGAAATATGTAAATCATCTTTGAAAAGGTTATTTCTACTAATTTTAATCAAAAAATGATAATAGCATTGTATGTTTCCCTTTGGCATAAACTATATTATATTATATTTTACAAAAATAGATAATTTCATGGATAATTTTATATATTATGAACAGATTAACAGAATTGGGGATAATTATACTAGTTTGGTATGTTGTTTTTTTCTGTTTATTTTATTTTTTCTTTTCTTTTCTTGTTTTGATATTGCAATTTCTGAATGGAGGCCCCTCAGGTTAGGGTTGGACCAGAATTGCTGTCACTTAGCAATGCGGTCTTGAAGCGTGATGTCATGCGATTGCATTGCTTTCCCAGAAATCCAGCTTGCCATCATTAAGCAAGGACATCATATGACGGAAATTTCCAACTTCCTGTTGGCTTCACCATTGATTTTGCATGTGGGAAGCCAGCAGGAACGTCAGAAATCATGATTACGTGATCATGGAACATGGTGATGGTCAGAATCCATCTTATGTCCTCCTTGTTCAGTATTCTTGCAAGTTTGAATGGTCACTGAACAAGTGGTCGTAACCTGAGGACCACCTGTATTAGTATTTGACTTTTAATTTGTTTTTTATTATTTTTTCCTATACTACTTTTTTTTTAAATTGCAACAAAAAAATTAAGGATTTTTTAAAGTATTTCAAATAATCCTTGTACTATAAAGGAGCATTTATTGCTTATTAAAATAACATGAAGGAAGAAAGGAAAACACTCACCACTTCTTGGTTTGTCTTTTTATAGAATGCTTCGGCAAAGACTGAGACAACAAAGACGTTGATGATGAAGGAGATAAAAAGGGCAATGCAGGATTCAATGAAGAAATACTTGTTGGCCTCGCTAACTTCCTTCTTTTTGGCCCGATTCACCTGTCGAGACTAAAAGAGAAAAATTCGATTCACACCCAGCAAAATGCAGCTTCATTGAAGTAAGGCCTTCTCTCTTTTCTCTTCAACTACCTCCATTTATTTATTAGATATTTTTCACCCTGCCTTTGTTATTTTACAAGTAACTCAAGATGGCAAACATACCTAATACTCCTCCCACCTCCTATTTTTCCCACTGGCCTGAAGTTACCTTCCTGGCATTCATGCCTAAGGGAAGCCTAGAACTCACAGTCTCCTGGTCTCTAGGCCAGCACCTTCACCACTACACCAAACCAGATCTCACTTTAGAAACAAACCTAAATTAATCATACTTGTGGAACTTCTGCTACACAGGGAGTAATTTTAAGAAGACCAGGAGTTTCTCTTTGCTAATCTAGTGGTCTTCATAGGCCGGAGATCCTGAAGGAAAACCTGCTCATGGAATTCACAACTGTGGTGAAAGCACAGCCTTTGTCCAAGAAGAAACAAGGGCATGCATGCATGTTGAATGTGATTTCAATGCAGCAGGTGTGGGGAACTATAGCCCTTTTATGACTTGTGGACTTCAACTCCCAGAATCCCTGAGCCAGCCATGTTGGCTCAGGAATTCTGGGAGTTGAAGTCCACAATTCATAAAGGGGCCATCATTCCCCATCTCTGTACTATGGCTATGCCATTGCAGAAAGAAGACAGGGGTGCAAATAGTTTCCACGAGGAAACTCACACTTACCTTGACCAAAGCAGAATGCAGGTACATGTTGTGAGGCATGATGACAGCACCTACGATCCCAACAGCTTGCTCTAGCTGGGCAGGCCCACAGCCTTCACAATAAGGCATAAACATCCCTTTCAGCAGCTGTCCCTGGTCTGGTTTTACAGTTATATACTGCAGAAGACACATGACAAGGGATACAAGCAACAAGAAAAGATGTTGGTATTAGCAGTGTCCTTGGCAAATCTCAGAATCTCATTCTTAAAAACTCCCACAAATATAGAAGTACAAAGTATTTCCTACAAGATTTTTTTGTTTTTGTTTTGGGGAGAATATTTTGCCCAAAAGGCAGAAAAAGGCTGATTCAAAAGCCTGTACTGTTCATTTTAAAGATCTATATATACAAATGAAGTGTTACCTCATATCCAAATGTGACCGCCATGATGGTAATGAGGAAGGCAAACAATGCTTCCAGTTTCCTCAAACCTAAGAGACACACAACCATTATTAATATGAAAATTAGTATTTACTAATTAATATAATTAAGGTTGTTTTTACCCAGATTGAAAAATATGCTCAGATCATTGAATGATCACAATGAAATGCACACATATTTATAATGCAGTCATTATATTCTTGGGTTATAACTAGATCAGCAGTTAAAATGCATCCAACTCAGCACCATTGTATCCTGTTCCTGTTTTATTTAGACTGTGAGCAAAGGGACAAAGCTAGTCCTATGCATATTTAGTCAGGAGGAAAAAAATAGCTGAAATAAAAAATCTACCTTTCCAGATCAATAATGTAAAGGTTTACAAAAAGCAATATATCTAAGTGTATAGATATAAGAGCCAAGGTGGCGCAGTGGTTAAATGCAGCACTGCAGGCTACTGCTAGATCAGCAGGTCAGCGGTTCAAATCTCACCGGCTCAGGGTTGACTCAGCCTTCCATCCTTCCGAGGTGGGTAAAATGAGGACCCAGATTGTTGGGGGCAATATGCTGACTCTCTGTAAACCGCTTAGAGAGGCCTGAAAGGCCTATGAAGCGGTATATAAGTCTACTGCTATTGCTATTGCTATATCAATGGATCCTTCCACGTCAAGTGGTCTGGGGCTCCCTGCTCGACAATCACAGTTTGTCATGAAATTTGGTGTGAACATGCACACGCTTCCCCGATGAACATTGGTAAAGTGTTACGTTTGCCAATGCAATACTTGTGGAGATATAGTCATTTGTTTGACCCTATACCGGAGCCTTCTACTGTATGACTCTGAGGTTTCAGCAACTTTGAGACATATCTCTGGCAATATTTTGTTGAAACAAAACGTAGCCATCTTGTGCAACTTCTTGTGCTCTATTAAACAAAATAATAATAAAAACATTCTTATGAGCAATCTCCATCTAGATAATTTGCAGCAAATCTGGCTAAAAATGACTGCAGCTTAAAAAAAGGTTAAAGTTTAATAATAATAAATAAGCAATCGTTGGAAAGTGGCAGTTCATACAAACAGTACGGACTTCACCTTGGGAACTATATAAGATACCCACTTTAGGCTTGGGAACCTAGGATAAGCTACCCAATTGTCGGCTTGGGAACCGGACAGATACCCCACACAAGGCTTTGGAACCTCGAGGAGGAAACCACACAGCCTTGGGATCCTGAACCACCCGTGGCTGGTATTGCATGGCTATTGGGCGTGCCCCCTATGGCGATGGGGTTGCTGTGTCACGTGCCTGAACTGGTAGTGACAATGTCACCATGGACCAACGCAATATAATAGTAGTGATGATGTCTATATAAAACAAACAAGACGAAACAATAGCAGAATGCATGTGACGCTGCCATACAACGTCCTCAAATTTGTCCCTATTTTTAGGGCTTTATACGTCGGTGATGAAACATCAATTCTACTTTTTTAGGGGGTTTGAAACATGCTCTTTCTAAAGAGAATGGTTTAACAGAGTTTTCAGAAGGTCTTTTTTTTTTGTAAAAGAAGGCTGAAAATGCCCTATTTGGGGCATTTTTACAAAAAACATCAAATTTACATGCAATTTGTTGGAAAGCAGTAGGAGAATGAAAGTAATTACACACACAGTTTCAAGTTTCTCATACCTTTCCTTCCAGAGATATAAAAAGCCAAACTTTAACCTTTTTTTCAAGCCACAGTTATTTTCAGCCAACTTCGCTCCAAATTATCTAGATGGAGATCGCTGATGAGAATGTTTTTATTATTTTGTTTAATAGAGCACAACAAGTTGTACAAGATGGCCAAGTTTTGTTTCTCTCAACAAAATATTGCCAGAGATATTAAGTCTCAAAGTTGCTGAAATCTCAGAGCCATACTGTCGAAGGCTGAGGTATGGGGACAAACAAATGACTATGTCTCTGCAAGTATTGCATTGGCAAACATAACACTTTACCAATGTTCAATTCTGAAAACATGATGTTGGCACTTCGGCTACTGCTGGGAAGGTGAGGGGTGAATTCATATTTTAAAAAAGTAGATAGCCCAAATATCCTAAAGGTAAACTGAGGCTTATGGACACTGCACTGAGAAGCTTAACATTACTACATGCTGGTGAGCTAGACCAAACATGGGTGCACACATGCACAACCCCTGCTCAAAGACTGACATGAGGAGCAGAGAATAGCTATCTTCCTGCCATAAAGATCTAATGAATCCAATGTTTTCCTCAAAAGGTGCACCGTGACATTATGCTGCAAGTTCTGTCCCTTGTGTACATAAATGCAATGTCACAGCACACCTACAAAGCAGCAAAGTTTATGTCAAAATGTTGCAATTCGCATGCCATCATTTCCACTACCATCCAGCCTTGCCAGCCTCTTCCGATCATTCACTCCCCTCTCCTCATCACTTCCATTTCTCCCATCAACAGGGCCCCTCATGCCTTGGGTCTGCTTCTATCCTGGCTTGGCTGACTGAGGAATTCTGAGAGTTGAAGTCCAGGAGACTTAAAGTTGCCAAGTATGAAGATTCCTACTTTACAGGAATCTAATGTAATCAATGGTACAATTCCCATAAAGAGCCAACAATCCTTCCTAAATGGAAGAACTGCAGATTTAGCAGCTGTTCTAAGACGGCAAAGGAATAAGACATAAAATTCTCCCACTGCAGCTGCCAGAGAGCTGCTAATACAGGCAAGGCCTGAGGGGCTCTAAATTAAGTCATTTCAACAAGATGGCAGCAGCACTGGGGGAAAGTGGGATTGGAGAAAATCCTAAGATTCTTCCATAGTAGCTCTGGGGCAGAGGTGGTATTCAGCGTGTTCTGATCAGTCTGGAGAACCGGTAGTGGAATTTTTGAGTAGTTCAGAGAATCGGTAAATACCACCTCTGACTGGCCCCACCCCCATCCATTCTCTGCCTCCCGAGTCCCAGCTAATTGGGAGGGAATGGGGATTTTACAGTATCCTTCCCCTGCCATGCTCACCAAGCCACGCCACACACCCCCAAGCCACGCCCATAGAACTGGTAGTAAAAGATTTGAATCCCACCACTGTTCTGGGGTATATATTTGGGTTTGCACATGAAAGAGGGAGAAATTGCCTTCTCTGCATGGCAAGTCATTTTTGAAAGGAATCAAGTTAAAACCTTTCCAGATTTGTGCACAAAGTGAAATCTCTGGAGCATGGCAAACCCTTCCCACACATCAAAGTGCCTTAGCCTCATCGATCAAGAGATTAATTAAGAGACAAAAGAAATCTACTTCAATAAGAAAAGCGCTTACCATACTTATCCAGGAAGAGAAACACAAAGGTATCAGCTATTGTTATGAGCACTCCACCCCACAAAGGGATTCTGTGGAAAGACAAAACAGAACAGAAAGCCTCCTTAACCAGGAAACAAATGGGCAACTTACTAGAAATTTATGGAGCAAAATATTGCCCATTTCTAGCAACCCATGCAGAAAATACCAGATTTTGTGTAAGCTTGGCTGTTTCCACTGGCTCTATCAGGTTGAAGTGTCATTTCAGAAGACCAAACCTGGTTTTAGGATGCATAGAGAACAAGCTGATTCCACTATTTGTTTCAATACTTCGAAGGAAGCCATCAACCTGAGCTGCAGCTATCTTAATAACTCTCAGCTCTGAAACTGAATTTGTATAAGCTTATTCACAAAAGAATTGAAGCAATTATAGCTAGGTGCACAATGCAGCAGGAGCCCCAACTAAACTGGTAGGCACACTAAGAATTTGGAGAACCTTTTCCTTTTGTTAACTGCACAATGACTCCTGGAAGGGCTCCCCATTCAAAAAAATGGCTGGTACGAGGAATACAACCTGTTGCAAAGTGCTGGTTTCCTAGGATATCACCTGACTCCCCTCTAGTGCCTCACTCCTAGCTGCTTCCTACTGCTCCTGCTTTTCTTTGTCCCTTTCTTGTGCAACGGACATTCCCTAAACAAATCACTAAGATGCAAGTTACCCATTAAGTTTACTTTTTAAGAAATTTCAGAGAGCAGAAGAACTTAGAAATTTAAGATGCTACAGGTGCTTTGCAGCACAGCAGCTTCTCTTCTTTTAAAAAATGTGAATATTCTAAATAGATCTAAAAAGTAATACTGGGTAATGAGCATGATGGCTACCCAAAAGGTGTCTGGTGCCATTTGATAGTGCTTATATCAAGGGGCCATATTGATATAGGTAATACCTCGACTTGCAACCACAATTGAGCCCCAAATTTATGTTGTTAAGTGAGAAATTTGTTAAAGAGTTTTGCCTCACTTTACAACTTTTCTTGCCGTATTTGTTAAGTGAATCCAGCTTCCCCATTGACTTTGCTCGTCAGACAGTTGCAAAAGGGGATCACATGATCCCGGGATACTGCAGCCATCATAAACATGAACCATTTGTCAAACATCTGAAAGTAAATAACATGGCCACGGGGATGATACGATGGTGATACACAGTTTTTCATAACTGTAAAAACTGGTCATGAGTCACTTTTTTCAGTGCCATTGTAACTTTGAACGGTCACTAAACAAACTGTAAGTCGACCTGTACTACATTAAGCTACATCCTGATATTATATGTGACCTTCAAAAGTGTTGGTGACTTTCTTCACGCCTTGCCGAAGGTGGTGCAGTCATGCATCCAAAGACTGTCTATGGTCCTCAGCCTGGGATAAGATGTTCACCCATGATATACAATTAATGGAAGGAATGCATCAAGGTTTCAAGCAGCTTTATCAAGATGTACCAAGAGTTGAACACTGGACTATGCATGTTCCTTAGACATTGGGACTATGGCTTTCTCACCAACCCTTTATACATGTAGTCCTTGACTTATGACAGTTCGTTTAATAACCAGTTATAACGGCACAGAAAAACATGACTTAGGAATGTTTTTCACGCTTAACAACCTCAAATAAATACAATAGGAGAGTTGAAAGGCACCTTGGAGATCTTCTAGTCCAACCCCCTGCCGAGGCAGGAAACCCTATACCATTTCAGACAAATGGCTATCCAACATCTTCTTAAAAACTTCCAGTGTTGGTGCATTCACAACTTCTGGAGGAAAGCTGTTCCACTGATTAATTGTTCTAACTGTCAGGAAATTTCTCCTCAGCTCTGTTCCTTCCCTTCTTGATTAGTTTCCACCCATTGCTTCTTGTTCTACCCTCAGGTGCCTTCGAGAATAGTTTGACTCCCTCTTCTTTATGGCAACCCCTGAGACATTGGAAGACTGCTATCATGTCTCCCCTAGTCCTTCTTTTCATTATACTAGACATACCCAGTTCCTGCAACCGTTCTTCATGTTTTAGTCTCCAGTCCCCTAATCATCTTTGTTGCTCTTCTCTGCACTCTTTCTAGAGCCTCCACATCTTTTCTACATCATGGCAATCAAAACTGAATGCAGGATTCCAAGTGTGGCCTTGAATTAGCTTGATTCATATATAATCCAAGGCATTATAAAGTGGTATTAACACTTCACGTGATCTTGATTCTATCCCTCTGCTTATGCAGCCTAGAACTGTGTTGCCTTTTTTGGCAGCTTCTGCACACTGATGGCTCATATTTAAAGGGTTGTCCACTAGGACTCCAAGATCCCTCTCAGTAACTACTACTGAGGAAGGTACCACCTATACTGTACCTGTGCATTTTGTTTTTCTTGCCTAAATATAGAACCTTACTCTTTTCACCATTGAATTTCATTTTATTAGATAGTGCCCAATGTTCAAGTTTGTCAAAATCCTTCTGTATCTTAAGCCTGTCTTCTGGAGTGTTGGCTATTCCTGCCAGCTTGGTGTCATCTCGTTGTAGCATCCTCATGGTCCCCTGATCAAAATTCAGACGCTTGGCAATGGATTCATATTTATGACGGTTGCAGTGCCCTGGGACCACGTGATCCCCTTTTGTGACCTTCTGACCAGCAAAGTCCATGGGGAGCCAGATTCACATAACTACTGTGTGACCAACTTAACAACTGCAGTGATTCGTTTTACAACTGTGGCAAGAAAGGTTGTAAAATGGGGTAAAACTCACTTCACAAGTGTCTCGCTTAGCAAACAGAAATTTGGGGCTCAATTGTGGTCATAAGTTGAGGATCACTAGTATTCTGAGGATGCTCTCTTGATCAGGCTAGAGATCCTTGCAATCCAAGGCTCAGTACACAGAATTACCAACAAAACTGAATCTGGAAGCTTGCAAGCAGAAATCAATAACTCTCTCCTGTTGTTGCTCCCTACTGGCAACTTGCATTTAAAACATACATGCTTCTTTTGATTACAGAGTTAATAAAGTATCAAACAGCCTAACTCTTCACAGACTACAGTAATTAAAATCAGTGGCTATTAAACAGTGAATTTCATAACTTAACTGCATTTGGTCAAAATATCTTTTGATTACTTCAGGTTACCCTGATTCAATGTTAGTGAATGCCTCTTAGGGGAAAGACACAAGAAAAGGGCAAATATCTTTAATTAGTTGAAATAAATAGGAAAAAAAAACCTGAAGAAACTGGGGCTAGTTTTGCTTAAACTCCACTTGTCTCATTTCATTCATTGAGAGACTTCACATTTGAAAAGTTCATTTTCAAATATGGCCTATCTACAGAAATTTTAAAAAGAAACTTGTCATTAAAGTATGATAAGTTTACCCACAGCATGACTAATATGCAAATATTATCATTGTCCAGTGGTCAAGGGCTGCTTCAGTGATTGAATGCATTGACTAGGCAAATAATTCCTAGATTTGATATGGAATTTTCTTGCTTGATTGTATCTCTGTGTTTTTTCAACTCATGACTAGCAGGATACTGCTGAAACCACAAAACACTCAGAATGACATAGCTAACTTACTTCCCAACGGACAAAAGGTTAATGGCAATTGCTGAGCCGATGACTTCCTGCATATCTGATCCAATGATAGCCAGCTCCACCATCAGCCACAAGATAAGTCGAGGAACCTACAGTAGGAAAAAACTCAGAAGGTCATGCTTAAAAGTGGAATCTTCTCCACCACACATCCACCACCCAGGAGCTGCGGCAACTAGTTCCCTTCAAAAAAACTCGTTGCAATGGATCCATTCATATCTCTGCCAACAGCAGTCTGCCCCCTCCCTGATAATCTACTGGGTGGCAACTCACAAAATTGGAGGGGAGAAAGGAAGGAAGGAAGGAAGGAAGGAAGGAAGGAAGGAAGGAAGGAAGGAGAGAGAGAGAAAGAAAGAAACAAAGAGAGACCGAGATGAAGAGAGAGAGAGAGAGAGAGAGAGAGAGAGAGAGAGAGAGAGAGAGAGAGAGAGAACGCAGAAAGGAGACTGATAAGAACATGGTGAACCTCATTAAGTCTACCTACTGTTAGATAAATTTTGAAAGGAAGCAATATTTGCCTTGAACTTCTTGATAGTTTAGAATGAAAACATTTTGTCCACCCTAAAGTTCCCTCTGTAAAAAGTCAACAAAAAGAGACACACTCTTCTTTTCAGGGTACAATAGCAGTGATGTGCACTCAAGTACACAGAGATGACTTGCAAAATATACTTCAAATCTTAGTTTAATGCTTTGGTCCAATTCTAGCTTACAATCTCCACAATGATTCACACAAACACAGCCTTCAGAAGCCATCCCAAAATCCTTTCCTCCTCCCCCATGCATTGTGCAATGAGAAAGAATCACCACAATCTAATTTTGGAAAGCAAACTCCCCTAGCAAAGGGAGGATTAAGCGTCTCCTGACCAGCAACCACCTACACGGATGGTTGTGCCGTGAATTTGGCAACACAAAAAGATACCGCAGAAGTTTATAAATTCACTTCTAAACCAAGAGATAGCTACACGGCAGATGCCGGAGCTGTACAAGACACACAATTACAAGCCAAGAGTTTCCTAGGAGGTGCCATAGTTTTGTCAAAGACCTTTCTGCTCTAGAAAGAAATGAATATCGAGAAGACTGCAAAAGGTGATTCTGGATTTGGCTGAATGTTTGCGAAATCTTTTCAAATCTTTCCTGGTATTACCTCCCTACGGTATTTCACAGAGGGAAACCTAAGGAGGCCCAGGCTTACTAGAAGCGCTGCCTTTGCAGCTCCCTTCTTATGCCAAAAGTATCGGTCCTCCCAGAAACTGACTCCTCCCATGTAATTCAGAAGTTTCTGATGGGACCTTCATCCTGGCAAGGAGGATCTGTGTTGGAGTAGTTTCCACACACAACCTTACAAAAAGATAATTATTGCAATAGGAATTTAATCTGGATATTACCAGAATTAAATATAATTAAATTATATAATTAAATTAAATACTAAGAAATATTCTAACTCCAGGGAAGAGAAAGGCAAGCAATAGATTTTGTCAATTTTTAAAGATTTCTATGCTGTTTTCCTTCAGATGTGCCCGATCCAGGAAATGTATAATTGCCAAATCATCTATGAACATGCATATGTGTGCACAGACCACCCAAAGTTAAAAATGACGGAGCAACCAAACAAGGGATAATTAATACTGAAAGGGGGGGGGGGGAACCCTGGGTTTTGTAGGAGATTTCTGCGTCTCTAAGCAACTGTTTTGCCAAAGCAGGCCCAAAAGGAATTTCATACTGAGGAAGATATTCTATAAGCCTGTCTACATCCAGGTTTTTAGGAGATTCATTTATCAGTAGTTGAAATAATTATGGGAAGAACATCAAACAAATACTGTAGATGCATTAACTTGAACAGGGAAGACAGAAAGGGAGCATTTACAGACTAATTTGGAAACCAAAGGTTCTGACTCTTAAAATTAAAACATATGCTTTTACTCAGTGATTAGATTTTCAGAAGACATCCACTGATTGCATTATTGATCTATTATTAAACAACCATTCCCCGATTAACAATAAGAGGTATGCAGTTATGCAGAAAAGTGTCCACATGCACAGGAGCAAAAACGCTTTCTGAGGATCTGTGCAATGAACAGGGTGGATAGAAATTGCTGATTTATTTAAAAAATATATTAAAAAAAAATTAAATCGGATGTTTTTTTATTTTTATCAAATTTATTTTAATAAAATGCCTTTGGAGTATCTATCTAAAGATAGTTTACTATTTAAGATACGTTAATAATTTAGTTTATTCAGCATGAAATGGAGCTTAGTTATATAGCATGAGGCTGTATAGTCTGCAATATTGGGCATCTGGGTGAGTCAACAGCAGGTCAGAGGAAGAGCCGCTGTGAGACAGTGATGACGGTGGCTCTTTAAAAATTATGATTTAAATCAAATCCAACCTGGCAATGAATATTTCTATTCCAATCCAACAAGTCAAGATCCTCCCCCTTTCAGAACCAGAGCCCTTTGGAAATTGACCACATAAGCACCACATTCACCCACGCAAAATTTGAGTTTCTTCCTCCATTAATTTTCACTGAAGCAGGAAAATCACTTTGTACATGTAGTCCTTGACTTACAACCGATTGTTCAAAGTAATGATAGAAAAATGATGTACACCCCGATTTTGAAGTTATGACCATCTACCTCCCCCATCCGTTCTCACATCACCCTATCTTGGGTGCTCAACAACCAACCCCATTCATGGCTGTTTGCTGCACTCCAAGGTCACTTGACTGCGATTTATGACATTTTTGCCGATGAGCAACATTTACTTTCCAGTAACAATGGATTCACTTGATAAGTCTGATGTTCCCTGCTGTGTTTGTTTTAGAAACGGCACAATCACTTTAGAACCACTACAAAAAAAGGTCAGAAAATCAGATATGTCACATGGTAACCCGCTCAATGATTGGCTCAATTACGGTCATAACTCAAGGATTACCTGTGGTTGTGGAATAAAGGCAGACATGATTGTTGAAAGGGAAAAGCCACTCCATTTACCTTACTGAGAGGAAAGACTGCAAGAAAAAAACCCCATAGATTGGGAACCTTTTCTATTTATAGGCCCAAGTTTTTTTTTTGGGGGGGGGGAGTAAAGCCATTTCTTGTTCTATCCCTGGAGGCAACATCTTCTTTTTTCTCTGTTCCCTACCTAACTTTCTCTTTCTGCAGGGTTCTTCTCTTCTGATTGGAGTGACCTTTTCCCCTTATCCCTCCTCCCTCCTGGCCTCCTCTCTCTAAAGGGGGGATGGGGGTGTTTGCATTTGTGTTGTGAAAGAGAATGGGGCAATTTCTGTACTTTTGTCCTCTGGAATAATCCCTCAATCTCATTCTTTTTTTATACCATTTGCTTGCCCAGTTGTTTTTCTCAAGAACTCAGACTGATTTTGGAGACTTCAGAACTATCCACATTTAGTACCTTTTCCTGGACGTCTCTTCCTTCCTGGTCCCAGTTTTCTTGGATTTTGTAATCTTGGCTCTCTTTTTATTTATTGTATGATCCTATAGATCAGGGGTGGGAAAACCATGTAACTTTATGACTTGTGGACTTCAACTCCCAGAATTCCTGAGCCACTGGTTGTAAAGATGCCATAGTTGCCCACCCGATCTATAGATCATAAAGTATCTGCACATCCTGTTTTCCTAGGACTGTGGCTAAAACACAGACATGACTGCTACCCAATTGTTGCTCCTGTCCACAAGTATTTGCCACTGTCAAGCTCTCATTTAACAGTTTGGCAAACACTCACATTTAATTATGGATCTGTCCACCTAAAGAAAATCTGAAGCATGGTGACAGATTAGTTTGGTAATGGCTTCTTCTGGTGTGATAGAATCACAGTCAGCATTCATGTCAGGCTAGGCTGAGCTAAACAAACCATGGAGAAGCCATGAATAGTGTTGAGTGGTTGTGAGTCAACATATTCAACACTTAACAAAGAGCTGAGATAAATATAAGATGCAAATCGGCTCTGGATGCCCCAATCCTAGTAAAAGCAAGCCTCTCTGTCCCCTGGCATGTTCATGCAGACAGAGGCACCATCAATTTACCCACCTTGGGGTACTGTCGATTGCATACTTCTGCCAGGTGAAGTCCTGTTACCACACCCAGCCTTGCTGCTAGACGTTGTAAGAGCAAACCAATGATAGTAGCCAACAAGAGAACCCAGAGCAGCTGAAAAACAAAAATATACACATACAAAAATGAAAACAAGCTCAGGATGGCAATATTCTGGAAGAGGAACAGCAAATCTAGGGATTCTGCCTACTAAACAATACCTGCATTTCTGGAGATACTTATCCAAGCCCTCTCACAATCAAAACCTGCCCCAGAGAAACCTACTTTTCACCAGACATATTTGGGCTTTTGTCCTGGAGAATTTAATGCTCAAACAAAACATTCCAAATAGGGGTTTGCTACATAAACGTTCACCTGTTTATGCATAACTTTGGAAACTTGAAATGTCTCAGAGATCCCTTTGCCTACTTTCTCAAATTAACTAGGAACCCAATGCAGAGGTGGTATTCTACCGGTTTGGACCGGTTTACCCAAACCGGTAGTGGAAACTGCAGGTGGCCCCGTCCAACTGCCACAGCTCTATAGCATCCCATTTAGGCCCTTTTTTCACCAAAGCGCATGTGCGGTAGGCTGTGCAAATGTGCTCACATTGCGAATCGGTAGGGAAGGTAAGTGTTTACCACCCCTGACCCTATGTTTCCTGGAACTTGACGGGTAGCAAAGACAGGTATTCAGTCAGATGTAACAATAAAACATAAGATCTAGTAATTCTTTTTAAATGTGCTTCAAGCTAATCTAACCAGGCAAACATGAGGCAAATTTATTAGCAAAATTAACGGTCATATAGTGAAGAGAATCACTGGGGTAAAATTTTTGCTTTTAAAATTTTTATTTTGTTTTGTTTTCATATTGCGAAAGCCTAACACTTAAAAACCAAAGTTTAAATGTTTCAGATTCTTTCTGAGAAGGATTCTGGTCAGCAGTACCTTCCCACTTACTTTTACCCTAACACATTTGAGGCTTCTGGGTTAAATTAGAAATAATGTGGCAGATTTGTAGGACTGATTGAAATGTCATCTGTTCTGTCCCCAATTTCTATGGTATACCTCTTAGATATTAAGATGTAACTCACAATGAACAGGAGATATTCTGATGAATCAAGCTAATTCATGCAATTAATATTCAGTGTGAATGAGTTCAATGTGACTCAGATGTAAACAAGAAAAACCAAGAAAATTCTCCTCTATTGTACTTTACTGTTATTCCCTAACATTGCAAAATCCCATTTTTAAACATTTTCAGTGTACAATTTAAAGATGGCATCTGTTAAAAAAAACGTGTTTAGAAAAATCCTCGTTTTGATCAGTGTCCTTGAATTGTTATGGTATTCTTCTGATCAATCTCTACAACAGGTTTCAAAGTGAAGAGTTTTACAAAAGGACAGGTTAGCCACTTACCTTAAATCCTGCAACTGCCCCAGATTGTAGGTCAGATTCAATGTTACCTGGATCCAAGTAGGCAATGCTCATCAGGAAACCAGGCCCAGTGAAGGCCCAGAGTTTTCGAAAACTGAACCATGGGTGCTTTAGAAACAGAAATGGAGAAAAGCGGGGGAGAGATATTAAGTATTTTCACACAAGGGAATATATAAATTCACCCATTAATATCAACTGTTATGCTGTCAATTATTTGTTACTATTTAAAATCAAGAAAGTTGTTAATTCAAAGAGGCAAAGCATTATATTTTACTTACACTATAATGAATTATATTAGGTCTTGCAAAGTTTGTTCTAGAAAACTATTTTTCTTAAAATTTAATGTGGAAGATCAATTAGCAACTCTTAGACAACTAGATGCAGCGGATCAATTTTCATTTTTTAACAACTCAATTTTAAATCATTGTTTGAATTATTTCCTCATCTCCATTCTAAATTATACAGCTCAGATTTTTTTAAAAAGGGCTGAGATAGTAATAAAAAAGATTTTGTGCTTGCATAGATTAGGAGCCAGGATTGCTAGAGAGTAAAAAAAATTCCATCATCCTTAGCTTATATTCCTTTAATATAATTCTTATTTAGAATTCCAAAGTGAAAGCTTTCAATAACAGAAGGTCCTTAAAGTCAGGAGAATCCATAGATGATGGAATCTTTTCAACAAACAAAATGAACAAAAATGAATATGGGTGCAACTATTCATTTGGGAAATTAAAGACAGTAGCTGTTATCTTTAACTGAAGCAAATTCATGCTTAGAGCAGCTTTCTCCTCTCTGTATACTTTCACTAGTTTTAGAATATAACTTTCACTCACTCCAAATGACGTAGTCAGAGGCTAGGGCTGATGAAAATTACAGTTAAAAGCACTTAGAGGGAGACTGACGGAGCACAATACTTAAAGACGGCTCAGTCTCCACCAAACCCCAAATTTCTGCATTAATTACTGATTTAAAAGAAAATAAAGCAACTCCAGAAAAGTGACTCATCCAGATACACAATCAGGAGGCAATCAGGAGACCAAGTTTAGTACTCCTGAACCTTCAGAAACATCAGAATGTTCCACTAATATATTTTGATGACTCAGATTGAACCTCAGCATAAGCTGAACATATTTTGCACAAATGTTACTATGATCAGTAATTCTTCACACTACCACCCTCTCTTTGACACAATGGTGTTCTTCAATAAAATGCCAGGGAAATTATCACCAATGGTGACCCCATCATCACTCTTATTACTCATACTAACCTTTTCATCTTCTGGTATAGGTATTTTCTGATCAAAGTAGGTGGTAAATTCATCTGTAGAGTCTGAAGCCTGTGGTGATACTGGGTTGCTGTAAATGGTACTAACACCATCCCCAGAGGTATCTTCTGCAAAGCATGAACAGAGTGATGTGATCAGAAAAGTGAAGAAATAGGAAGAGCAGAAGAGTAGCAAGATGGATGTAATACAAGTGCATCATGTTATGCTTTATCCACTGGGGGAAAAAATCTCATGCCATTTGAAAATATTATCCATTAATTATATCATGGAATCAATACATTTGCAGGGAGCCAGGTAGGGTAAGATGATCTAATCTGTATCTCAACAATGAACTTAAGTGAACAACATCAGAACTAGCCATTCCTTGCACACAGTAACTGAATACACACACACACACGCACGCGCACACAGTTATCATTTATACAAAGGTGTACAAAGATTCTCCTTCATCCAGGTCACAGTTGTATTATGCACAATTATGCAAAGGTATGTAATCCTTAACTGCATATTTGTGTGATAAAACAAACAGAAGACTGAAATTTGATTCAAAGACACACATACAGACTTTAATCATGTTAGATAGGAATGACTGCATCTATATAGCATATATGCTCTTCCCAGAACTACAACTAAACACAGACAACTTGATAGCTTTTTCAGTCCCCAGATGTAGCTCTTAGAAGACACACATTCATTATATAAGACCCTGTAGGAGCAGAAGAAAAAGGAGAAGAGGCAGGGGTGGGCTGTTATGGGTTCGCCCGGGTAGAGGAGACCCCATAGCTAATATTATGGCTGGTTCAGAGAACCTCCAAAATCCCACCCTTGGCTGGCCCCTCACATCCTGCCCCCTCACAGGAGTCTCCTCATGGCCCATTTTGGATTTGAGGTAAGTGCAGGGCACACACGGGGACTGAGGGAGGGGGAAAAACAGGCCACCCAGAACTTCCAGAAACGGGCCTGTTTCCAGCCTCTAAAGGGGCTCCAGAGCCCGGGGAAGGCAGTTTTTGCCCTCCCAGAGGCTCCAGGAAAGCCTCCGGAGCCTGGGGAATGTGAACCCCCCCCCCCGCTGCCGTGATGCAGGAAGCTGACTAGGCCACACCCACCATGGCCACGCCCATTCAGCAACCAGGCAGAGAACCTGTTGCTGAAATTTTTGAAGCCCACTCCTGAGAAGGGGTGCCCACTGGCTGGACACTATAAAGGATGACACCAGGATGACCATGGTGGATCTGAAGGAGGCAGTGCGAGACACAGAGCGCATGGAGAGTGCTGATCCCTACATGGTCAAGGGTTAGACCTGGCTGAATGGCTGACAACAATGACAATCCAGACTGATGGAAGTGTTAGAACCGACAAAGAGCCACTAACTCAGAAAGCTATAAATCTATACGGGTGATTTTCTGCTGCAGTTATAGAGTTATCTTTGGATGAAGACATCTATCATTCTTTGGGACATTTCTTATAATCCCAATTGCATGTTAAAATGCCTGCCAAGGCTAATGTTCAAAGGCTGCTTTTCGAATGTTCATTTGATTACAATTATAATTCGACTGCTTTTGGCTCTCCCCTTGCAAGCTGTAGCATTCTGGGATAAGAATGTTTCTTTCCCCCCCCCTCAAATCTGTGTAGCATGGGGGAGGGGATTGCTCTCCTCCCTACTTAACTATCACCTCTCATCTACCTCCCTTTCCTTATCTGTTTGTTTGAGAAATTATACGTCTGATTGAACATCTACAGAATGGGCACTGTTAAGATTCTCACCTTGCAGACATGCAATCAAATATTGTTAAAGTTTTACCTACTATATTCTGTTTATGTCTGCTTAAAAGAATTTATTTTGATATGCTTAAATTGTAATTGTAACCCTATAGTTGCCAAGTCATTTTTTTCTCCCAAACCTTCTATTTTTTTTCGTTTTAAAGTTATTACGTTTTTTTTTCAGTCATGAAAGAAATTCTGATCTTCTTATTTCCCTACCTAAAACTCACTTCTGGAACCCAGATGCTGGATTCAGCTGATTCTTCAGATCTATTCATCGGGGCTGCTTTGAAATGCAAACATTTTGCCTTGTTAATGGGCCCCATAGCTATATTTCCCCCTAAACTTAGATCAACGGTTTAATCTGGACATTCTATTAAAACCACATCTTGATTTTGTTTTGGAAAAGCGTTGGGAATAAACTAAATCTCTTCCATCATCACCCTAGCAAGAAATAGATCAAAGGGTTATAGGGACACCACGTTCCACAGAAAAGCGTTTGCAATACCTGTACTTCTCCTCAAAATAGCAAAACAACCCACCCACAAGGAAGAAATTAGGTCTGTAGACAGTTTCACAACACAGACAATAATTTTATAAGCCCCACCTCTCCCCTCCAGTGCTCCAATTGTACTCACTCTTGTATTCAAGTTTGTATTCTCCACGGGGCATTATAGCTCAGCTCTGCTTCCACAGATCAAAAAAAAGCCCCAGGCTGACACCTCGGGATGTACAGAAGTGACCAATTTATAGCTAGAAACTGGAGCAGTAAAGAGAGAGAGAGAGAGATACGGGGACTGTGGACTGCTGGTTGAGACAATGAACTTGGTTTCTCCTCCTACATCTTCATTCTCTCCGCCTTCCAAGGAACAAGAGATGCCTCTCGGATTTACCTGAGAGCTTTAATGCAACAGCCACCCTGTGCCATGAAAACCACGCCCCAAACAGCTAAGCTCACCTTGCTCAGCTAGTTAACCAATGCCAGGAAAAAAAAAAGTCTTAAGGAAAAGTAGGTAGCACACAACTCGAACCTGATGCCAGCAACTTCCTTGAAGTTGCACAGTAAACAATAAGCAACTTTTGGCAGCAGCAATGTAATGGAATGTCCACTAACTGCAGGTCAGCAAGGAAAATAGTCTGCTCTACCAGGAAATAATAGAATGGTTTCTATTCATAACCTACTGGCAGGGCAGCTTATTTGGGAGGAAGATGAATGGCCATCTGATGCAGGACTACAATGAGGGAGAAGGACATTTCAGCTGGGGGATTTGAATCGGGAATTTCCCAGAATTTAGGCTTCATTCTGCGCTAGGTGGATGTTCAGATTCAGAAAGATTTAGCCCCAAGCAGGGAACTACACAGGTAGCCCTTGACTTACAGCAGTTTAATTAGTGACCATCTGAAGTTACGACATCACTGAAAAAAAGCTAACTTATGACCATTTTTTCACTGTTACAACCATTGTAGCATTCCCATGGTCACAGGATCAAAATCTGGATGCTGGACAACAGGTTCGTATTTATGACGATGGCAGTGTTCCAGGAAGGTCATATGACCCCCTTCTGACAAGCAAAATCAAATCAAGCAAAACCGTCTTATTAACTTCAGAACTGCAGTGACTCACTTAATAACTGTAGCAAAAAAGTAAATTCATAAATTCACTTAACAGCTGTCTCACTTAGCAACATAAACTTTGGACTCAAATGTGGTCCTAAGTCGAGGACTATCAGTATATAATTTGGTGTGTGTGTGTGTGTGTGTCTCTTCTGTTTGTTTTTTACTGAGGCAAATCCAATGATCTCTTACTTTGGGAAGTTCATCAAGTCCACTTTTTGTACTCTTACATTTCCTTCATTTCCTTTGTGAAAATACTGGGATGATTTGAAATTCCACAAACTCTTTTGCATATCAGAGAAAGGGGCAAAGTTAAGAGCCACACAGGATTGCGTCCAAGGCTTGTCTCCTCCACCATTCTGATCCCACAATGGCCAAAACCAGATGCTTCTGCTATGGGGTCCGCAGGTTCTCACTATGGACTGTCCTCAACTTACAACCAGACCGTCTGAAGTTACAGCAGCCAAGGTGGCAGAATGGTTAGAATGCAGGCTACTTCAGCTGCCTGCTGCAGTTCAGCAGATCAAATCTCACCAGACTCAAGGTTGACTCAGCCTTCCATTCTTCCGAAGTGGGCAAAAAGAGGACCCCGATTGTTGGGGGTAATAGGCTGATTCTGTAAACCGCTTAGAGAGGGCGGTAAAAGCACTATGAAGCGGTATATAAGGCTAAGTGCTATTGCAACAGTGGCACTGAAAAAGGTGACCAATGACCATTTTTCACACTTACGACTGCTGTAGCATTCCCGCAGTCATGCAATCAAAATTTGGACAGTTGGCCACTGGCTTATGTTTATGACAGTTGCAGTGTCCCGGGGTCATGTGATAACTCTTTTGCAACCTTGTGACCAGCAAAGTCAATGAGGAAACCACTTCACAACCATGTTACTAACTTAAGAACTGCGGCAAGAAAGGTTGTAAAATGGGGCAAAAACTCACCCGACTTGCTTAGGAACAGAAATTATTGCTCAGTTGTGGTCGTAATTGGAGGACTCTGTACTGACACCATAATGATGAAAGCAGCATTGCAGTATTCTGTTGCAAGCTCCGCCCTTTCTGGGGTTGAAATGTTGCAACGTATATCAAACAGGGGCTGGTCTGGGGTTGCAATGCAGCACTGGCTTCTTTCAGTCCAACCCCCTTGTCAGTTCCCCCACCCCACTCTCCAGTTCTCCGTGCCTTCAGGAAGCCCACAACAGGTAAGTCTGCAATTGTACAGTCACTCTCATCTTCCTTACGAGAGACCCAGGGGCTTGTCAGAATTACGATATTTGCTTCTAGGACTAAGTATCAGCTATCCTTTCCTCACATATTTCTTTTCCTTGCTAATTTTCTGCCTCAATTTCCTTACAAGGAAGTATCAAGTTAACTTTTTGTATACATTCTCTCAATGCAGTAATTTGTTGTCTGATCACATTTTCCCACTTTGCATTATACTCTCTTGCAGAAAATTATAACGGCACAATCAAATTTTCATAGAATTTGAATTCCAATAGCTTAAGAGGGGAAACAAAGAAACTAAAAAGGGAATTAAAAGCAAGCAAATATCTGTTTTGGCCATCTGAAGTTACAACTAAATCTGTTAAGACTTTAAAGTACCTATATTTTATCTGCAATTAGAAACTTGAAAATCTGATAGGTATGAGGAGATCTATTTAAAAATATTTTAAGATTCAGGCAAATATATGTTCAACTATAATTTCATAATTCACAAACTTCTCGCAACACAAAAAATAAAAAGCAGACTAACTAAAGCTTTGACAGACAAGATGGCCACTCATCCAAATATCTTATGTTTGTGTCACAAAGAGACTTAATGCATGAGAGTACACATGCATGAGTTTAGTCTCTAAAATGTTTCGAATAACTAAAGACAAAAGAGTGATTGAAAGAACATTGTGGCCAAGTTAATACAGTGGGCAAAATTGGAATTATAAACACGCACAATTTTGTGTGTGTGTGTGCATGCGTGTGCATACATGTGTATATACGTGTGTCTGTGTTATGTACATGTACTGTGTATTTACCCTGTTTCCTCCAAAATAAAACCTTCCCAGATAATACGCCAATCGGGCTTTTGAGCACATGCACTAAAATAAATCCTCCCCGAAAATATTGCAACATAGCAGCAGCCATGAGGTGACCATGCTCACTGCCTCCTGCACCTCAAAAATTGTAAGACCTCCCTGAAAATAAGGCCAAGTGCTTATTTCGGGGGTCAAAAGAAAATAAGACCCTATCTTATTTTTGGGAAAACATGGTATGGTAAATGGCTTTATGATAGACTCCAAAAGTGTTTAATCAAATATATGCTGATCATACATGCCCATAAAAGACATCTAGAAAATATCTTCATGTCACAATCCAAAGCGCATACTTAAAATCCATTCAACAAATGTAATGCAAACTGTCCCGACCCAGTTTTATAATTGGGTCAGCTTGTACAGAAAGAGTAAAATTTTAGAATCTGCTGTATTAGCCATCTGTCTGGCAAAACAGTGTTATATTTTGCTTGCCAAGCCGATTAATGCTGTGTTGTACATGCATCATGTATATTAGTGGAAATAATAAGCAGATTCAAAATGGCCAATATATTTCAACAATCCTAGGTATACACATTTTTCTTAATTGGAATTTTATAATAACGTCTCTTTAATTATTTGAACATAGAGAACCAATAGTGATACTGTATTCCATTCAAATGGCTTTTTTACTTCATTGTATTTGGATTTGTCATTGGAAACATTATTATTTTACAAATTGTATTATTTATTAAACTTATGTGCCACCCATCTCACTATCTAAAGTGACTCTGGGTAGTTTCCTATGCTACTATGAATGTGGTCTGGTGAGATTTGCCCCCAGCGTCTCTGATCAAAAGATAATAAGGAAGAACCAAAAACTACCAATAACCATATTCAACTTCAATAAAATGTTACTTTTCTCAGTGTTTTATTTTCTTGGTAAATTGGGACAAGACACCTATAAAGTAGTTTAAATATTACCATTTGGACCCTTTAAATTCAAACTTTATAACAATCCTAGACATCAACCGTATTTAACTTTCTCTGACACATCTGAAGACCACAAGCAAAACCAGTCTTAGCCTCCAGTATGTCTTAAGAATGTAGAAGCGTTTATAGCCTGAATGACAGTATTCCTGGCCATAATGTTACTTCAAGATAAAGTTTTAAAAAACGTTCACTATCATGGATTGGGAGCTGGTGATAGCCTGATTGCAGAGCCATAACAATTATCTTGCAGAATATTGCTGGGTGGTTTAACAACTTGGCAGATAACAAATTTCTCTCCCAGTTCCAGATAGTTCACTTATGAAAAACTTGAGTTAAAGAGAATGAGTTACATTGGAAGAAATAGAACAATCAGAAGAATGTCTCTTTTTTCTTTTCTTTTAACAATCCCATAATTCCTTGCATCAAGGTAGAGTCGGGGCAACTGAATGGAGCTGAGCATTTATTGGCCAGATGCCCTTCCTGACACCTACATGGAGTTCACAACAGATATTTTCTCTTTGTGCCCAAAGAGAGTAATATCTACCGTTACCTAGGATCAAACTCACATTCATTTGTGAGGCGAAATCAGAATGCCTATATTTTATCTTAAATATTCTGTTGCTGCAGCTGGAGAGCTTTTCACTAATTTTTCTCATTTTCATATTCCGAAAGGATGTTAGTGCAAATTAAAACAGAAATCTACACCTACTATTCTGGAAGCAAGTCCTCTTAACTCATTGGAATATCCATTTATGAAGACATACAGGATTTATGCTATTCATATTTTGCACACATAAATCTATAGGTCTCTCTTTCAAAGAACTTACAGCTGAAGAATATGTTGGAGGAAGATTATTTTCAAATTCTTTTACCCAATGATAAACAAAAAAGTAAGCATCTTTCGTAAATGTTGTAACTGTAACCAAACATTCATATTTCATCATGGACATAAATAAAGGTCTGGTAAATTTAACTGTCCTTATCTTTTTTATTATAATGTAAATCACTTTGGGAAATCTCATGAACCAGAAAGCAATATAGAATGAGTAGAAAGCAAAATGATTATATAATGCCACTCTTAATATTTGTCTAAATCCAAGAGCCATTTCAGATGGCACAATGATCCAAACTGACTGAGAATTTTTGTTTAAAATAGAATACAATAGGAATAGAATGGAATAGAATAGAATAGAATAGAATATTTTATTGGCCAAGTGTGATTGGACACATAAGGAATTTATCTTTGGTGCATATGCTCTCAGTGTAATAAAAAGAGAAGATACATTCGTTAAGATGGGAAAAGATTCTGGGGAAAGTTGTGCAGATAGGCCTTATTTTTCAAATAATTTGAAGACCATCACTGTAGAACTTGCGGTAGTCCTTTTCATGTGGCTTTCTGCCTCAAAATGGTAAGAAAGCATGCCACAATTTTTAGCAGTAATGGTCAGATGAGGTTTTGGAAGTCACACAAACAGGGCTTGCGACTCTGTATGTGACCCTCTTAAACCAAGGATAACATGCCATTCTAGAAATGCTGTAAAGAACAACAGACATTCAGCTATAAATAAGAGATATTTGAGCCTGCTTTCCGAAAAGCCACCAAGTTGCTTAAAAGATATGCAAATTAAATGACCGATTTACCATAGAGTACTTCCCTTTCCTTGCCAGGTGTCATGGTTAGGACTTTCTCTCCAGAATTGGGATCTTTAGAACCAGTCACAGTAGCTGCAAGAGAGAATAGAAGACATTAAATCCATATTTAGGGTAAAGTTGTACGAGCCATGCTACAGACCCAGAGTTCTGCATAACACTTTTCTCTTCAAGCTGCAGCAGAGAAAGGCAGATATGGTGGAGATCCTGCTCTATTTTTATGGTATAGGGTTTGACTCATTCCCATGACTCATGTAGAACTAAGGATTATTTCTTGCCCAACCATGACAAATACCACTTCCCAAAAATACTACCAGAGACAAAAGTGCAGTTTCTTGAAGGGTGATTTATAGAACCTATTGTGATTATACAGATACATAAATCCAAGACATAAGTAGACATCTAGTCACCATCAAAATGTTTCTTTAGAAACTGAAACAATTGATTCAAGTAAAACTCTTTTTTCTTCCTCCAGCAAAAGTTTATCTCTCTGCAAATGCAAAAAAAGGACAATCTAAGGGGAAAAGAGGAGGGAAACACACACACACACAGGCAAATGGATAATGGGTTTTCAGAGTTAATGAATAATTTCTTGAAGCTTTACTTATATTTTATGTTCCTATTCTAGAGAAAGAATGCAGTCAAATGCTTCTGTAATGTAAAATATGGCCATAACTTCTGGCAGTTGCCTGTATTGTATAAAAATGTAGTTGTTCAAGAAATGTTGAAATTACCCTGTTTTTTTTAAAGGGGAAAAAAGTAAGGAGGCTGGAACTGAAAAATATGGGCTTGCTTTTCTTTAAAATTCTTTTAATTACTTGTAAAGCTTTATGACACAAAAGTGTTTATTTTATAACAGTTATCTCACTAGGTTACATGATATATTACAAAGCATGTTTTCTCAGAAAAGTCAGACTATTTGGGACAGGCAATTCTGAGATTATGCTCCCCTCCCTAGCAAAGATATAGCTCCTTTATGTGTGACTACAGTATATATACATATACATACACACACACACACACACAGCGACAACCATTTGCTTTTCTGTTGTTTTCTGGTTTTAATTTCTTGTTTGCCGCCCAGTTTCAGTAGTCAGATAAGAGGATGGAGAGAGAGGGAGGGAAGGGGGGGGAGAGAGACAGAGAACAGAAGATTTCCTCCACCAAAAAGGCTGTAAGTCTCTGCAGAGATTTAATACACCGAAAAGAAAATGGCAAAATTCCAAAACTTTTTCAGAAATCCGATCAAATTACTGAGAATTACTCATGCCATTATATGTATTTTAGAAATGGGCCCAACCAACAGAGATTTGTCTAACTTGGTACACAGGAATTATTATTTTTAATAAAACTAACTTGGGTAATAAAAAAAATCTTGATCTTTGCATTGCTTGACACCATATTAACTTTTTCAGAACAATTTTCCTACTGGATTCCTCAGGGAGGACGATTCCAAGACCAAATTTTTCTTAACCTAAACCTTGACAAAATATCTAGCCTGACAAAATGAACTTTTAACTCTTTTCAAATGATCTGTTCGCTCTTCATTAATCTTTCCCCAGAACAAACTCCTTCTTCCTAATAACATGCATACCTCAGGCCTGCCATAACCCTGATGAATATAGAGTGAGGGTTTCTTTGAGACAAGAGGAAACCAGCAGGCAGATGTGTTTAGTTTTATGTGTTAGGATTAATGGGGATCTCAGACTAAAAACCTTGTCAAGGCAGCATGTGACTTTCAATTAACATTTCTTGATTTTACTATCATGGTTGAACAACCTTATTTCAGTGTGGGAAACCCACTTTCTCCTAGAGAATGAAATATTGGGGGGGGGGTATTAAAAGAGGCAGAATATTATATTTCCTCAAAGGAGAAACGGAGAAACATGTTCTTAAAGGCAGAAAGCAGCTCCAATCTTCCTGTCATAGGAAAACAGCTTCAAGTAGAAGTTTGAAGAGGCTGTTTTTTTGGAATGGAGATTGTGTATCCAGTCAGAAAGACTGGGCCAATCTATTCAGAAGCAAAGAGCAAACAGAGACTCCAAACACAATTAGGCAAACTGAAAAGCTGGGACAAACACCTAGGATTTGCATTTCCCCTTTTGCCTGAAGACTCAGCCATGATCCCATAGGAATCTGGCAACAGCCATTAAAATATTAAAGGACACCTTCTTGCACAGGAACAGGCATCTCAATCACAAAGCCCCAAAGAATGTATAAAAGCCCACCCCAGAAATATGCTTCCAACCTTCACTAAAGTTTCTGGCTTCCAAATAAATAGAGACCTTCTTTCCATGCAGCCTGCCTCCATTTTATTTTCAGGGTCTTTTTCCAGTCTTGGAACCAGATCGGATTTTTCTTCCAACATCAGTTTGCAATATTACTATGTAGAGTGGATAGTGGACTAATTATCTGCACCACTTTTGATACTCTTCAAGTTTTGTTTAACGTCAGTCCAAACCAGAAGTTGGCAAGACTTTCGCTACTATGGGACAGATTCAAGAAACTGCTTAGGAAGGTCTAAAATGTTAGCAAAATACTTATTATTTTGACCTGAAGAACAACACAATAATTATTTAACATATTACTGTTTTAGTTTTTATGGTCACCTTATGGAAAGGTAATTGTCACCATAACATTCCTTAGTTTAAGAATGCAGTTTGATTAAGGTACACTTGAGTCACTATTCCCAGTTACCTTTCTGGCTGTCCTAGAAATCAAATTAAATGTGGAAAATGTTTCAAAACAGGCTATGTTGTTTTCAGGAGACAATTTTTAAAAGGGGGGGGGGTTGTAATAGGGATAAAGGAAAGGATGTAAATATAAAATTCTTGGCATTATTGGAGGAGCAAAATCAGTATAATAGTATAAATACATTCTTGGTGTATCACAGAAGTTGTCCACAGTAGTGACAGTTTGGGATGTCCTAGAAATTCAATAAATAAATTTAGTCTAATCAAACCACTGTTTTTCAACATTGGCAACTTTAAGATGTGTGAACGTTTGGCTGGGGAATTCAGGAAGTTGACGTCCACTCATTTTAACGTTGGCAAGGTTGAGAAACACTGCATTAAAGTAAACTAGTAAGTAAAAACTTTGAAACCTTTCCTCACAGAATTTCTAATTTTGAGTACTTAGGTGCATCTCGTTCTAACTGTACAGTATCCTTTTATAAATCAGGCCAATCAGAAAGATAAACAGGATCTGAGCGGTAATGGCAGCATAGATCATTACAAAGGTAGTGTATTGATTTTTTAAAAAAACAACGAATTATTTTAAACTTCTTTTCTGAAAATACTACTATATTGTCTTTTTATTTCCCTCTGAAGTTGAGAATTTTATCGACTAACCCATAATTCCAAGATTTCTTTCCTGAATTCCTACTGTCAATGAAATGCAAGCAAGAACTTAAAAGGTTTCCTTGCTTAGTGTCATATGAGCAAGTGGCCCACTGTTAGACGTGCCATTTTACACCTCTTGCTGGCACAAATTTTAGCTACCTTTAAAAATCCTCTATAAAGGTGAGTGCAATTAAAGGAGTGGAAAAATATGGGCCATAAAGCTGTCTAAAGATTACTGTTCTTTAAATTTGTTACTCTTTGATTTGGTTCTGGAACAAAAGGGTGTGAAGTCGCATACCCAGGATTGTTTTTGTACATATATAAAGGTTATACATGCACAAGAAGCACCATCTTGCAAATGATAATGATACCCTGAAGGGGTTTTTGTTTTTTTTGGTTTTTTTTGCTGTTTCAACTGATTATTGTTGACCAATTCACAGTAATTATCCATGGATGTAATTTTCATTCCTGAAACTCAAAATTAATTGAAGAAGTTTGGGCACAGAAGCCAGTGATCTGTGGAAAGCATCAAAAGCCTGTGGGTTATCACAAAACTATAGGTTCCCACCCCCCAATTAATTTTCCATACTGACAATCACAGAAAAGAAAGGAATGACATACCAGCTTATAAAACAAAAATCAAATACAAGCAGGAAAACAGAAATCTGGCCCTGACCTTTGTTTTTGTTTTTTAATAGGAAGAGAGGCAATTACATTTGAATTGTCCCCTCAAAAAAGCTCAAAATCATGAATGGCCAGACCTGAGTTCTTTATATATCCCTTTGTTTAACCATTTTTACCAATGAGCTTGATACACTGAGCTTGTTGACCAGAAGGTCAGCAGTCCAGCGGTTGTAATGGAGTGAGCTCCCACTAATTGTCCCAGCTTCTCCCAACCTAGCCTAGTTCGAAAGCATGTAAAAATGCAAGAAGAAAAATAGGGACCACTTTGGTAGGAAGGTAACAGCATTCCATGCGCATTTGGCATTTAGTCATGCTGGTCACATGACCATAGAAATGTCTTCAGGCAGCGCTGGCTCTTCGGCTTTGAAACGGAGATGAGCACCACCCCCTAGAGTTGGGAACGACTAGCACATATGTGCGAGAGGAACCTTTACCTTTACCAATCTAGCACAGTAGGTTAGAGGTGATTAGAAATTGAATAAGGATAAGGCAGCTTTGGTTTTGACCTCTGCCTCTTCCCAAGTCAGCAATTCTCAATTTAACTTCTCAACTCCAGTGCTGAGCTATAAAGGTTACCACTGTAAGACAGAATGTGGTCTATACATATCGATCCAAATGTAACTCCCACTGAATCCAATCATTTAACTTAAGGTATTTCAAAGTTAAGTGGATTAAACTTTTTAAAAGTTTTTAAAAGTTTTTTTTTTTTTTTACTAAAGGTAGAAACTTTAGATAATAGTCGCTAGAATACTTATAATGGAACTTGTTATTGAACTCAGCAGATGTAGCACCCTCTTTACATACAGACCATTCCAAAGAATGAATGTCACACATCTACTGGAACAAGCTATAATATGAAACACACATCTGCTGAACATCAAAAACATAAATCAACTCAAGGCAAAAATGTTCATTCTAGCAGTAAAATATAAACCCATCACTGTCAACCTTTGCAAAGCTTGGTTATCCAATACCTTCTGAACCTAGCCAAATACAACATTATGCTCACAATTTAACATATTCCTTTGAGATAAGTATGATCAGCTATGTACATTC